GGGTTCGTGGCCCCTATCAGGTTTTGCTTTGACATTTTTGGGTTGTCGGTTCAGTGTTGAAGGCTCAGGGTAACAGACAAGAAAACTGTGCATGGCTTGAGGGTTGATGTGTGCAGTGGGTGTTGGTAAGGAGTGTAGGGGACATGCGCATGCGCATGGACCGTCTCTGGACAGGCTGTTGTTTATCTTCTTCCCTGCCCTGCCAGCATGGCTCGACAATTTCAAGGCATGAGCCGCAACTTGGTCATAGCAATAAGAATAAACAGCAGTAATGATTGCTCAGCTGCGGACCCCCATAAGCTGCCCTGGATTGCATCAAGTGTTGTCACGATCGCCGGAACTGCACCGTCTCCGACAGGGACACTGACAGCGACAGTGACGGGCACACTGTCTGACCGATTGATTTATTCATTGAAGTAGCAGTCCATGTGCCACCCCATCCAACGCAAGTTCGCCACAACTGTTGTCCTGCCTCAGCAGAAGCGGCGATGGCATCCAATTCCCACTGCTGCGCAAACTGCTTACGGAGCGAACCCCTGAGTCGCTGTTGACGGGCTCCCTGTAATGAAGTAGCCGCCGCCTGGTTCCAGGCCTGCCGCTTGTCCGCTGGCATGCCAACCCACAGCACCCAGTGATGAGCTTTGAAGTGAGAGGGGACCCAGCGGAGACTCCACCGAGCTCCACTGCCACAGCCGACAGTGGCAGCTCCGGGAAGTCTGGGTGCTTACTCGGCTCCAATGGCTTGCCGTCGCTCGGCGACATCTGGGGGCCCCGGTAGTCTCAAGCCAGTCAGTCTGAGTCTGTGGGACAGCAGCTACGGCGCTACGTTCTGGAATCAAGTGTCACACACAACAGTTCAATCACACGAATAAGTACTTCATGGAGTGGAGCAGTAATACGAAGTTTATTTCTGCTTGCATATGGGATTATAGTCTCTGGCCAAGCCGCGCGGCGAAGGCTTCCCCAGATCCCTGGGCTGCTCGGAGCAGCGTCACGCTGAGGCTCAAGGCATGCCCTGCCGAGATCACTGCAAACCAGGGCTGCGAGCTTAAATGAAAGGGTTTCGGGACTGAGGGCTTCGGGCTTAGCTGACCCAATAACGGATTATGGGGTCAGAGAAGAACAAATAAACGGACTGGCGCAGTCTTTCTGCAGGAGGAGCCGCACAGCCAAGTGCGCAGGCTTCCGGTAGCTTTGCTCGGGATCCGAGCTGGAAGCCCCAACCCGACCTACCGAGAACGACCCGTAGGCTTGGTCTGCACCCGTGTCATTTCCTGCCTGAGCCCGGGCTGTCGAGTGTGGAACTAATTATCAAGAATCAACTCTAATGAAGGTCTAGTTGCGACTTCGCTGGAATTGGGACAGCCGCGCCGAGGCATCTTTGACCTGGACCATGAGATCTTTGTCATGCAGGACGAGGAGGGGAGTCCAGCATTTGCAGCTACTGGTATAAGCTAGTGCTTGCCAGTTCAGCTGCTAAGCTGTGGTCATCTACCGATGCTCCACTATGAGAATTGGAGGACTGCCATAGATCCACCATCAACCGTTCCCAGGCCCCTCCCGATCAGCCTCTTGAGGGCTGCCACGCTGCAACAGCGAAACCTCCGAGGGCGGCTGGATTTTTTTAATGCATGCTTTGAGATGTGCTGGCGACATGCAAGTTCGACAAGTGAGAATAAACATCATCTGCGAGGCCTAAGAGCGAAGCACTTGTTGAGGCAAAGCCATTAGCGCACTTACTCTTACTCAGCCTTGGAAAGCGCTCCACTGCACGTAATATGGATACCGCCCCGCCGCATGTTTCAAACCACGACCTGGCGCCCCAGCTCTTCCAAGGGTGACGCCATGGCCGCTCTACGTGCTTCTGCGACGACATAGCTAGAAGCGAAATGCCAAGTAAGGTCTTCCTGTGCTTTGGAACATGTCATTGGGCTTTATGGTGGAGAGGTTGGTGTGAATCCACGAGCTCTTTCGGCCTGCCAGGACTTGCCGGAGCATATCATAAAGTTTAAATCACCACCGTTCTGCTTCTGTGGCCGTGCAGTCTTTGCTCAGCCTTGGAAACACGGTCAAGAACCACGACATGAATGTGGCGACACCTTCGCCTTGGCAACACGGCCTCTGCATGCAAACATGTCGAGGAAGCCGCCAGTTCTTCGAGGCAAGAAAAATGACATCGATGTTTGTGGCATTGCGATACTCGTCCATACTCAAAGGCATACGCTCAATACGAATTGGAATGATATCATAGGAACATACATGTTGTACACCAGGTAGCCATGACAATCACCGTGTTATCAATATACCTGTCACAGCAACTGCGCTATCACACAACTTCGAAGCCCTTCCGGGCGAGCCTCATCTACATCCACGAGATCGCGATCCACGAAGACCTAGCTAACCTGGGCGATATGGACCACAAAAGACAGTGGACCTGTTCTTCTGACGTGGCTGCGAGAGTGCTTGTTCGGCTCGTTTGCTTTCGCGCGCTGTGGTGGGTGGGTGGATTTGGGTCATCCACCGTTTCCGACTATTTTGGCTGAGTCTACCGACTAAACCTCAACTCGGCAACGAAACAGTGTGTGCTCACCGTGTGAATGTATAGTACCCACTGCAAGTCTGAGCGGCCGGTACATTAATCAATACTAGTCAGGCCAAAACAGTTTACATGTCAGTGCTGCCCAAAAGGAGAATGCACAAAGCATGGGTTGCTGGTTGCGGCCTTGTACTGCATTGTTTCAGCCACTCTTGACAGCAAAGACAATCGTGACAACTGCAGCCCTCGCTGCGCTCCTTTTGTATCTGTTCCCACGTCCGGAACCCATCCAGGCACAGTGGGCGCAGTGTCAACACCGCCCAGCATCGCAAGACCTAGGATCGCTCCCGTCAGAAGGTTAGTCTTCCTCGTCCGAGTCATCGCTATCGTCTTCCTGCTCAGTCTCCTTGGTGAAGACCATGGCTCCCTTCTTCGATCTTTTCATGCTGTCGCATCCTTGGTCTGGCTTCAGGCAACTTCTTCCTCACAAAAAAAGGCTGACACGATATGTTTTTCGATGTAGAACCATGAAAGACGAGCATCTTTTGCTGTGGAAGCATACCTGCGTTACTCGCTGGTTGCCATTGGGGTAGTAAATGAAGGCAGCACAGTCATCACCGGCCTTCTGACACAACTCAGCACAAAGTTCCATGGTTTGCGCCATGACCAGCTCTTTTTTCTTGCAAACTCGGTTCGGATGAAAATGCAATGCGCGGAGGCCCGGGTGGAAGATGGCACTGACCATCTTGTCCTGCTTCCCGTCGATAATCTGTGCGTTGAAGTGAAGGTAGTTGTCGAGCACAAACTGACTGTTGTCAAAGGAAATTTTCGAAGCGAAGACCTCGGCGCCTGCAAGCCGGTGAGCGACGAATTGGAGCATGTTCTTGTCTGCCACCGGCCTGCCATTCAGGCATGCATCCAAGAAGACGGTGGAACGTGTTCTTTCTGTACCATCAACGGTGAGGTGAGGGTAGAGAGCATCGAGCAACTCCCGCGTCGCAGGTTCGTCTACCCGCAACTCGGGCATCACCGTGTCACTCTCAGTGTCCTCGCTTCCCCACCTTGGAATTGGACTTGCAAAACAGACATCAAAGCATCAAACAGCTGCGGCCTTTATTCGACTTCACAGATTCTTAGAAGTTAACATCAAGCCACGCCAGAGTGCGTGGATCGCCATGTCCACCCAGGACGACATGCTTAAGCCTTGCAGGGGTCTGGGTGCGGTCGGGACAAAACGTGAGACGCCAAGATGTAAGTTTGCAACAAGTAGCTTCACATTCGTTGCGTGGAGCCTTTCTCAGCAGAATCTTGCTGAATTAGGATCGATGATAAGAGCATGGACATGGCAGCAGGTCAGCACAAGGCCTGAAACGGGAGTCTCTGTTGATATGACCCACCACCCTCTCTTCTCACCCTCCATCCACCACGAGCCTCACATTGCTGGGCATCCCTTTTACGAAGGCAATCGCTTCTTGCACCGATGCCACGCGCACAAAATGCACGGAGTAGTGATGAGCCATGTGGACGAGGCGGTAGCACACGCTTGGGTCGATTGTACCCGAGGAGCATAGTGAAAAGGCGCTGTTGTGATCCTCCTCTTCAGCGGAATAATTAATGAATTTGGTGGAATCAATCTAGCATGTGGATGTCACGACAAATCAAAACATACTGTCCTTGGGGTATATATACAACACGTCGGCAGCACCAGCTGGATTTACGTACTCCAGCTCGTTCTGGTCTTGGCACCGACCCTTCATGCCGAAAGTACTCTTCATTTTGCCATTGTCGCGACCTTGGCGGTTGCTGCAGTCGTTCAGCTTCAACACGGAAAAAAAACAACAAGCACAAAAACAGATCACACCCAGAAGCTGTCACACTTGGAGCCCTGGGCGGAAAGCTCGAATTGCAAGGTGTCAAAGGCCTCCTCACGTTGCCTGGGATATGCTACGCAGCTCCGCAACGCTTCCTCTGATGCTACATCGAATAGACAGTGCCGCCAAGTTGCTGTGTGCTTCTCACCGCCAAACAGCTCGGTGCTGTTGCAGCCACCAGCAATGCTAGATAGCCACGGAGCCTGGCCCGTATGTCCCTCATCTAGCATGGTGCTTGAAATGGGTTCGAATGTTGCAGCACCTGTGCACCCGAGCTGTATCTGGGAATGAGCGAAACTGCTCTAGTAATTGCGCTGAAAGGAGCATTGCGAGCAGCAGCCGGGGCGAATCAGCTGGCAGGTCCGTGTGGAAGTGGAAGAACGAATATCGCAGGCAACTTTTGGAGAGGTACCGATGCTTGGAGCCAATGCAACTTCCAATTGAGACTTGTGCGAGTCAGTGCTCTTGCAACAGAGTCCTGCCCCTAAAACGAGACGACAAATTCAAGGGAAGTTAACACTCTCGGCCCTGAATCCTATGTGATTCGAGCACAGCCTCAACGAGCTTTTGCTGCGGCGATGTCTGGAATAGTGTGAGACTGTCCGCTTTTCGATCGTGTTGCGACTGAGAGCAAACACGAAAACATCAAGAAGAAACTGCTACGAACTCTTCGCATACCATGGCTCATTTTGGACGTCGGTGCTGCCCTTAGGATCTTGAATCACAGCCCGCTTTCCAGGGTGCGGCTCCGCCCCTGTCATCAGGCGTGGAAGAATGTCCTGGTGAGCGGCCAAGCGCACCAATCACGGTCCCCAAGAGTTCAATACTGTATTCAGAGGTTGAGCTCTGTAGTTCCTTGCAGTGTGCCGGCGCAATGTTTGCTGGATACTTAAAACGGGGGCACAATGCAGGGAGGCGGATGTGGCACAGAGCCTCTCAGTCAGGTCGCCGCAAGGCCAGTCCCACTTCAGGGCTCCTGCAAGGCCGGACTGTCTGACGTGAGTCTGCGGGCCTTAGAGAGAACGACGCACTGCCTGGGCAGCAGCGCCGCGCCCGGCAAGCCCTCGAATCGCTCCTGGCTGCTTGTTCGGGATTCCCGGTCAAGCAGCATCAACATGGAATGAAACTGAGACAGTCGGCGAACACTATATGAGAGTGTCCAAAAATAAGGGGTCCCTTATTTTGGGGTCCTTATAATAAATAAGGATCCTACTATTTGGGGTACTACTTTTTTGTTTTTTGGAAACCCCCATATAAATTAAATGAAACTCTGCTCCCGGGTCCTCCTTCCACTCGGACAGCTGCCGCTCACAGCTCCGTCGCTGCTCAGCGGTCAGGCGGCGTCGATCCTGCGAGTCCCAAGTCTGAGGGTTGAGAACGGCTCGAGTCGAGTCCCTTCCCTGTTTCCTTTTGCTTCTGACGTAGCAAGGCGTGATATGAGAAGAGCAGTGCTGCTGCCCATTTGAAGCTGCCCATGTGGTGACCGAAATTCGCCAACTTGAGGCCAGGGCAGAGGACCCTGGGGTTGGGTTGCTCATTCTACTTCGCCCAGTCAGGCTCAATACGGAAGAACCGCACATTTGCCCTTCGAGCACCTCCTCGTCTCCCCGTAGAGCCTGTGCAGCTTGGGGGTGGCTTCAAAGTCGGTCGCATCCCGTCTAGCAAGTGCACCGGAGGCTGCTGTTGACCTTGGGCTTCCAAAGAAACAAGAACAGGTCAGCAAAGCATCGCCTCCAACAAGTCCTCCAGCTCGTCGTAATTCTTCAACATCAAGGGATGCTGGACACAGGTTCTTAGCCGGTAGCACATTTCGCAACGTTCTTATGAACCGCTTATTCGCCGTGAAAGGAGAAACACAGAGCGTGTTCTGACGGCGAAGATAGTCTTAATGCAATACAGGATGTTACATGCCAGCTCGTGCACATACTTTGCACGTGCTGACGACCCGCCTTTCATGAACTTGCTAGTGCCTTGGTTGATCGTGCTGCTTGGGGTTGTTTTGGACTTTGCCTCTCTGGCTTCGCCGTTGCTTGTCTGTTGTGTCTTCTCGGCCCCTAGCCCTCTAGCATTGCCGGGTCGACAAGGCCAAAGTCTGTGCATGCTGAACCGTGCTGGTCTGCGTCGTATCCGGACCTTGTATGTGCTCTATCACAGCCCCGTGCTAAGGCCTACACTTTTGCAACGGCGCGCCTAGCTCCAAACCCTGGTGTGGAAACTTCGGGACCTTGCGTCTTTGCACAGGCACGGCTGGAAGCTGCACCTGCAGCTTCTACCGCCTTTCCTTCTCCTACTACACCTGCTCAAAAACTGCCCCTCCTCTAACTCCTCCTCCTCGTCCTCCTCCTCCTGTGCCTGTTGCTACTCCTGCTGCTTCTATTACGACGACGACTACTGCGCGCTATGCTGGTGTTGCTATGCCCTCTGAGTTCCAGGAGTTCCGGATTCAAGCGCTCGTCAATATCCAAGTGCGAGAGCCAATGAGAAGAAGGAGCGGCCGCGACTTTTCTGAAGGAAGCTCTACACGAATCAGGCCCAGCAACGAGAAGAGCTGAGGCCAGGAGCCATAGTAATCCTTCACCGGTCTACTGTCTTAGCTTTTGGGCACACAAAGACTCAATGCCTTTGCCTCAAGGCTGCGCCATGCTGTTTAGGATGCTCTCTGGGGGCCGGTCTGTCGGCTTCCAGGATGAAGGATTCCTTTTATCTTCATTCTGACAATAGCTGTACAAATCTCAATCGGACTGTTCGGACTAGGCCGAGGCCAGTAGTGACCCAGAAAGCCTCAACCGGCGAGAGATCACTGCTCCGCACGACTCCGGCGGTCCTTGTGCTTTTTCAGCACGATTGCCAAGGCGTGGCCTGCACTTGATCCCTCTTTGAGAAAGCAAGCTATAAAGACTCGGACTCGGCGTGTCTTTCTGTGCATGCAATCGCGGCAGCGACTACCACACCATCGCCCCCGGCGCGAGCATCATCGCAATACCACCAGCCTCACAGCCACCGCCATCCCCTCACTGCCACCAAAACTTACATTATCAGCACTCACTCCGACAAGCAGTTCTGCCGTTTTCTCGCCCACCTGCAATTCCTGAACCACATGCTCGCAGAAGCTCAAGCTCTGCGCGGGCACTTTGAAGAAAAACACCAAAACTGAAACTGCGGTGACACTTGATGTTTGCATATTCCATGATCGATGGTAGTGCGCGCAAGCCCATCCATCCGTGTACACTGCTTCTTGAACTCTGAATCAACAGCTGTCGCAACCTCCAGAATCTCTCTTGGTCCCAGATAGGCCGTTTTGCCTGTCTACTGGTAGCATGCCGGAACCAACAAGACAGCCTGGGGCACTGGGGTTGCGCTGCCGGTTTCGGAAACTGTCGCAGGTCGTCAGCGCCCAGGTAGTCCTAAGCTGCGCTGAAGTGCATGGCAGGTGAGCCGCTGAGCCTTCGGGTGGAAGCCGATTCCTTCGGTCTGGGAGGCTCAGTGGCTGTGTTGCCCCAAAATTTCGCTCCTGAGCTCCAGGCGACTTCGGAATGCACCTTCCCGAAAGTCCTTTCGATTGGGTTTGCAGCAAGCTCAAAGCTGCCCAGCTACCCTCGGCCCTCCCACCCAATTGATGCCTGCCCAGAGAATGGGATTCTGCTCGTCACCCTGCAGGAAGATATTGATGCGATCCTTGGATTGTAGGACTTGCCGCGTCACTTGCGGGCACAAAAACCCAGGTTGGGCTGGCAGTGTATTGTGGACTAAGGCAGTACTGACTGTGCCAATTGTTCGGCCGGCAGCTGGGCTTTGCGATGGGGATCTGAAAAACAATCCACACGAGTGCGAATTGGAAGCCGTACAGGCGACCAAGTTCAAGGCCAAGAGAACAATAAAGCAGCCAACTTCCGTGAACATTCCCACCCACAACGACCAGAAGGCCTTGGCCGAAGCTTGTGCCAGGCAACATCCAGGATATCCGCAGCAAAGAGTTCTTCCAGCCTCATTCAGGCCGTGCTTCAGACTCGAGCGGCAAGTGTTCAGTTGCGTTTCCCGCTGCAAGTGGGCCGATGTCTGGCAATGACTCGGGTTTGTCAGAGCGGCGGCATGATCTTCTGGACGACGTGGAGTGCCTTGGCTAATTGAAACAGCCGGCAGCCGACCGAGACCGCAAGCTTCCGGAGGTCTGCATGGGCACCGAGGCACTTCGGTCTCAAAGTGAATCCGGACTGTGATCGTCTTGCTGTCCTTCAGTCCGCCGGACAGATCAGTTACGCGGCCCCTCGTAAATTCATCTACACACACTCGCGAGAGACTGAAATCTCTCCCGAGATCTCCCGAGCACAGGAGAAGGCAGACCGCAGGCCTGCAATGTGTCGATGCCGATGCAGAGATCATCAGGAGCCTCGGGGTGAAGCTGGCACGGTTCGACTATGCAACAGGCTGGCCCGCATGTTGTGGGACCGGAATCGTGTTAATTCTCTGAGAATTTGATGCATGCAGCACACCTAACATGGCCGTGTAGATACTAGTTGCATCTAGTTGCCCTTGTTGGTCAGTGCATGTCAGTGCAGTTGACGTTCGGTCTCACAACTGTATCAGTTTGTTGTAAAAAGTGATATCGCTTCGAATATTTGCCACTTGCTGATAACCAGTATCAGCTTCTAGTCGTTATCTCATGCATACCAACCCCGACGATTCCGCAAACACGGCATATCAGCTGGGGGAGCGACAAATAAAAAGCCTGGCCGAGAAGTCCACACTCGGCTTTTGTGGCAAACCATGGGTTTATCTGAGTGTACTGAGTTTCGTTCTAAGCCTTGGGTTCCTCTACGTGGGGGGGCTCATCCCCATCAACCAATCGGAAAGCACATCATCGTGTTGAGCATAAGCTTGCAAAGCCAGCCGGCAGCCACCCCTTTCTGAATACACGGATCCTGGTCTGCATCACACGGAACGAACCATCACACAACCCAAATCCACGCAGCGCCTGGCATGGCACCTTCCTGCAGAGACTCGATTCAGGCACCGGGTGTGCATGTCGTGAGCAAACAACGGAGGTCCCCAGTAAAAATCTGCTGCGCAAATATTACAGGATTCGCAACGGTGCCTTTCCAGAGAGTTTCCTGAAAGCTGACCGCACCCAAGCGATCTGATCTAAAAAGACTCTCCTCCGTGGCCCTCGAGCGCTGCAGAGGCCCCTGGGCCAAGGGCACTCTGGCAGCGCGCTTGGTGTCCTGACCAAGATAAAGCGGGGACCACGAAGAGACAGAGAGCTTCCCACAAGTGGCGGATGCCTTGCCTGAGCAGCCTCCATGGCTGGTGTCCACGGGTAGCCCGACCTCAGAAACTTGCGAGGAACAGGCCGGGCAATTGACCCGGGCGCTGCGCTTCAAGGAGCCGTCACTGTGCAATCTCAAGTCGCCACTTCTACTTTGGCATTTTCGCTTCTTCAGAGGAGGCAGCCGGGCATCGGGATGCTTCATCTCCTTCTTGTGCCACCTCAGAAGACAGAGGTGCTATAGGTGCTCTTCGGCGACAATGCAATTACATTCGCTCGATCCCTCGATTTGGGCTGTGATGCTCCGGGGATGCAAGGCAAGCCACAAAGCAATTGCCACAGCATCATGTGAGATCCTGTCCAACTAAGCTTAAGACGGCGAAGCATATGGAAGTGTTCCAGATCTATCAGTTTATTAAATACGGGAGATAATACAAATTAAATACGAAATGAATACGATTGGAGAATAGGAAATGAATACGAAAACAGTAGGAAATAAATACGAAAACAATGGGAAAACTAGGACACAAATAGGACGAAAAATAAGTCAGTTTTGGCCCCAGCACACCAGACTTAAGACAACATAGTGTAAAACATCCACGAACAAAACGTGTAACGAAAATGTCCTTTTTTGCGCGGGCATTTCATGTTCTGCTTTTTTCTTTATTATTTCCCAGCTGGTTCGTATTCTTCCCCTATTTCTATATCGTACTTATTTTGTATTTTTTTGTACAAACCCTATTTTCGTGTGTATCTGGTTCGTATTCATTTTGTATTATTATCCTAATTTAATTAAATGGATGGCTCCCCTACACTTCCAATGCTTCGCCGTCATAAAACTAAGCACGCGGCACATCAGGCCAGCTTTTGTGAGTGGTCTTTGCCAGCCTGAGAGAGCAAACTCCCCTATGCCCGAAAGCTGAATACAAGTGAACGTAGCAAAGCTCGCCAAACGCGACCCTCGAACCGAAACTGTCAGCTGTCAGTGCCAAGCCGCTCCACCTCGAGAGTCAGCCTGCCGGGCTTCAAAGCCGTCTTAAGAGAATCGGAGGAGAGACCCTGCAGTCGGGCCACGCATGACTTGTGGGATGCTCGAGAGGCTCTGAGCTGTGTTCACAAGCGGTACTGTTACCGGCCCCATCTGTCCGTGTCTGCGGGCAATCTTCTTTGGTCTGCCGGCTGCAGTGGGTGCCTGGCACACCCTGTTTCGCATGTTGCTGTAATGCTGGCAATCGAACGCCGACAGATAATTCGATAGGCAGATGGATCGACCCGCACGTTGGGCTTCTTCCTCGCGGCGTGCGGGCGAGGGTGGACGGGTGGCGGAGAAAGAGTGGGGCATGGGAAGGACAGGCTGTGTAGATCACAGTAGGGCAAGGATTTGGTACAGCTGGGGCGGGTAGGCTGTGCTCCTAGGATCAGACCAGTGCAATTCAGGGTAGGGCAGCGCAGGCGATGGCGGGAGGGATGGCCCGTGCTCCACAGGAACATACAGACATGCAGCCGCAACCGCTCGCCCTGTCATTCACTCGCTCGCGCAGAGATGCATATTCCAGGCGCAAGTGGCTATATCAAGCACAAGCTCACATGGCCTTTCGTGGGCCTCGTCTACGCCACAGTTCATCCGCCTTGCGACCTCGCGTCGCAGCCTGTCCGACTTCAGCTTTTTCTTGGCTTGGGTGGGATACCCGACCCTTTGCGGCATGAGAAATACTAGCGCTGTGTTACCGGTCGAAGATCATCAGACTCGCACCTCCACCAGGAGAGATTTTGGCGGATGCTCCCACAGAGCATGCCGCTCATGTCTGCCTTGTGCGAGATGCACATAGTCATAAGAGTTGCTGTAGTTGCAAGCCCATACAGGGCGAAAGGGTGGCAATCTGGCTGCTAATTCGCGGTGACTCGCAGCAGATCCAGTTGGTTCGCTGTTGCAGATTGCCATTGCTATCAACACGCCGAGGAGTCGGCCAGCTTCTTGCCCTGCACGTGCACCTGGGAAGGCTCCGGAAATGCGTGGGTCGCTGACTGAGAAGACAGAGCTGCTACGATCCCCTGCCTGCAGCTCGCACGTGGACACTTCCACAAGCACATCCTCCTGCGATAGTCAAACTCTGCACGAGGGCTTCAGGCATTTCAGCATGGCAACAATGTGTAACATCCCATTCATCCTGAAGCTGCAACCGTCCTCTTTCAGACCAGATTGCGTGATGGGGCAGGATAATGATAAAGTCCTTGGATGCCATTTCATGCCGCGATGCAGGTAATTGTCGCAACAGCTTGTCCGTTTTACAGTTGCTGCAGGCTTTGCGATTATTTCAAAAGTGCTGCCAACCCAAGACCAAACCTCGACTATCCTGAAGCGGTGAGTCAGGTGTTGTTGGAGATCAACACAAAAACCTCAACAGTTCTGACCGAAGTCTCTAACATTTCCATGAAGAGTGGTGCAATGTCAGGAAAGCCGGGTGCCGAACCCCATGCTCTGCTGCCACTCGACTGACCTGAGCTCTTTCACCTCTGCGCTCCTTCTGTCGTGCTGTGCAGGATTGTGCTCACCCCATGTTTCGATTCTCGTATGGTGTCATTATACGAATTCGCAAACGGTAAACCTGCACTTACTGTGGCCCCGCCGGCCTGTATTCTGCATCAGAACTATACAGTACCATATACAGCACCATGATCCTCATCCTGTTCGCTGGTCTTTGCTGCCCAGGCTGCCCCGACTTGCCCTTGCCGGGCGTGGCATCGAAGCGACGGAGCCTGAGAAGAGTCAAAGAAGACTTCGCAAAGGGGCCCTGCTTCATCGGATGATTTTGCTCTGTTCCGCAATGCGCCTTCGTCAAGCGGATGGGCCACACCATGTCTGTTAATAACCGCCAAGCTGCCGCGCGGCACAGCGCAGGGGTGCGCCGGCGGCCTGACAAAGGCAAGCGGCTGGCCGGACAATTCATCAGTAATTCAGGGTTTCAGAGGCTTCCGATGATCAGTTTTTACACGATCCAGTGGACCATGTCAGACTGGGGATGTCAGGCACACAGATCGTGTTCGCTCCCTCTCTTCTTTCACAGTGATCGATACAGTAGTTGCAGGTGCAAGGTTAATGCTCGAGGACTCTGAGGGCTGCGATCTGGCATGGGCTAGCTTCCGACGCACATAACTCGGTAGAACGGAATTGGTCGTGGCATAACGAGCTGAGAAAGCCAACCTATACCATAGAACTATGCAGCCGTAATTTTCATGTGGCCAAATGCGTGCCTTGGCAAGTGAGAGGCTTCTCACAAATCAGTCGGGGCTTTCAAGCGCAGAGCCAAAGTCGGGTTCGGGCGCACCTCGAGGTCGTCGATTTTCTGCAGCCAGGTCATCCCCAGGGCTTTGGCAGGTTGACGAGGCGCTGATGCACCGATGCCCCAGGGCAAGCGGAAATATCTCTTTAGCCTGTAGGCTAGGGTCCTGAAAGTCTCAGTGCTCAACTGGGCCATGGAGCTTGTTCAGGGAGTTTAGGGAAAACTCAATGGCAAATACTTAGTTGCTATGCCACCTAACGATTCCTCGAAATCAGCCCAACTTCAGAAGCCTTTTTTGTTATGATTATTATTCTGACGATGATGATGATTATTGCCGCAGGAAGCTCTCGTGCGTGCAACTGTATGCAGTGTGCTGCGTTTGTATGAATCAGGGCTCGACTGCCTGTGCTGCAGGGGGGCAACTAGTTTGTCATGGACACCACAGGCCACGCAGACCCCGACACTTCACACATCCGAGGGTGGGACACACGCCGAAAGGTGCTCGGGAAGACCTGAGTTTCGGACGCTAAACGGGTCTCGCTTCTCACAGAATGATTAACTTTTTCGTCCTCACGTTGCACGGCTGGAAAGATCTGGAAAGCGCATGAAATGTAGATTGCAGGCGCTCCACAGTCAACATGTTCAATATGTGGGTAGTTCAGAGACAGCCCTGCTTCAAACACAGGGGTCTCCTAATTAATTGCTGCACCCTGCAGCCTTCTCGAGCTCGAGAAGCTGTCGCAGTGCGTCTACCTTCTTCTTGCTTCGTTCAGGATTCTTTCAGCTGTCACTGACCCGTGCAAACCCTGACAACCTACCTAGAATCCAGAAGACATGCTTGGTGTGGCTCCCAGAAGTAGGTGCACTTGACCCTGCAGGGATGCAGAGTTCAAACAAGGACTGTAAGAAAGAAGTGCCCGGGTTAGGCTCTCCTTCAACGCGAGATGTTCTCAGAGATCGTGGTTCTCCGAGTCGCCATAATTCAGCCGTTGTGTAAGGCCCACAGGATGGAATTAGCTAGGCAGGGAGTAGCCGCAGGTCAAGGGATGTGCGACAAGTCAACATCGGCACTACCTGCAAGGAGGTTTCCGATTCCCTTTCATCTGGCCGGCGAGTCATGGCTACGACGGTTGCGGGGCTTCTCCTTACAGGATTGCTAATCGTTCCAGCGCTCTAAAAGCATCTCGCATTCAATGGCACATGAGGAAGCACACGCGTGCGAGATATGCTCCGCGGTGGAAGCGAGCTGCCCCTAGCCTTCTTGCCACGAGGTCCCGGCACATCATTAAACGCTACAGATGTGAACCTACCTACAATTGACTGGACTGCTGGCAAGGACCTGACTCTTGACATGCAAAGAGGTCCGGTCAGATACAGCCTTCGAGCATGCCATCAGGAACAAGAGTATAGGTCAACCAAGCTGCCCAGAGCTGCAGCTGGAGCTTCTGGCTCGTATCTACGTACTCAACACTCGAGGGACGAGTGCATGTGGACAAGTGCCTTCGAAATCTAGCATGCACTCACCTGCAAATGTTTTTGCATTGGTTTGTCCTTCCTGAACATACATGTGCATGGGCAACAACAATCAATTCATGTGTCATGTTGTCAGGTACATCGGCTCTGCTGCTTCAGACGCTATAACTGCTTGAAGCGTTTCAAACTGGCATGATCGGCGGCGAGCTTGTCGGGGCAGTCGCGCAGAGTCTCACTTTACAGGGTTGCACGCGTGTGGTTCCCTGAAGCCAGACGCACATGCAAAGAGAACTTTCCGGGACGGGAAGTTCGAACTGGATGCCAGAGGCTACACGAAGGATGCAAGTCTTTGGGCCCTTGGCCCTTCCTTCGGTCAGAGACTCCGACAGCCCTAGGCATTCTCCCGCTGCTGACCTTTGCCGCCACTGCGGCGACGGAAGCTCAAGCACACCTGACGAGAGAGGAGGCCGGTCCCAGCTGACTCAAATCTCTCCACACTTGTGCCAAGAGGCGGAAGTTGAGTCTGCAACTGATGTTTCCACGCGGGTCGTCCTTGGAGCAGGCTGCGAAGCGGATGTGGCCACTTGACTTGAAGGAGGTCTCATATGTCTCATCACCATTGACCTGAAGTAGCCCCGCAGCCTGCGCCTCAAGCGGCTTTCGGGCGCACCCAAAATCCGAAACATCGATCAAACCAAAGTAGGGACGTGCTTCTACTATACTATCGTGATGTGACATCGCAACCGCAAGTCTTGCGGCTAAGGATCCACAGCTCACAGCGACTTCCTTGAAAAGAAACACCACGGCAGTCATCACTGCTTATGCAGGCCTCCTGGCAGCCTGGCAAGAATTCTAGCCGCTAGTGGAAACATATACGAAATCCAGCGCTCAAGACTGTTAACACTGCTCTGGAATTTTGCCAACTTCTGCGCTTATGCAAAAGCATTGTGCCACCTGAAGGACTGGGAACAGTGGACTTTGGATTGCTTGATCAGTCTTCATTTGAGTGTCGGTGAAAGGTCTCGTGTCGCTTTGTACCAGCTGCGGATGAAATAATTAGACCGGTGATGACAAGACTGCTAAGCGAATTGACAAGGCTGCAATGAAAGATACCCAAGTAGGGCTTCACTGAGATGGACTGACCCACAGGCTGATGGTAGAACGGCCTCAGCCGCTACAAGTGCCGCCAGCTGGAGCTCTATTTGCTAACGATAAGTATGTGCGATTTACGTCTTCAACACTTCCAAGCGTAAAGGGTTTTGTAGCGGCGCGTGCTGTCTAAGGGGACTCTGCTGGTGACACTGGTGCCCGGCCCGCCAAGCCTCGCAGGTCTATGGCGGAAACCACCTGAGGCTGCAGTTTGTGCAGGTTATGCGGGCCTTTACGATGTTGGCTAGGCGGCTTCTGCACATGCGAGTCAGCCCTACCATCCTCAATCCTGTGCGGGATGGGCTACTGCTTGCGTAAGGAAGATGACCATTCCAAGTTATCTCTAGCTATTGGTGAACTCATTTCTCGATGACCCGGGTCAAAATCCTCACAAGTCTCTCCTGAGGACTTGCCTCAAAATTGCCGGCGCCGTTGTCGCCAGCATCCTCCCCGCGACAGGCCCTTCCAACACCTCCAGGGTTGTCAAGCTCTCCAGATCCAATTGGGTGATGTGCGAGCTATAGAAACTGGGAAATCAGTACAAACACAACCAAATAATAGGCCCCTTGCTCTGAAGCCATCTGGAAAAACCCTACATGTCCATACAGTCTGCAAGCTCCATACATGCCTGATAAGACAAGCCCAAATATTGGCTCCACACGACGAGGAAAGCTTTGCCACACGTGCGCACAGTACAACGTCCCACGCATATGACTGCACATATACATTCACCTATACAGATACATCTACACATACATACACAAACTTGTATATACCTTAACGCATATATACACACATGTATACACACACCTGTACAGACATCCTACAGTCATACATGCATACATACATACATACATACATACATACATACATGCATACATACATGCATACATACACACACACATATATANNATATATACACACATGTATACACACACCTGTACAGACATCCTACAGTCATACATGCATACATACATACATACATACATACATACATACATGCATACATACATGCATACATACACACACACATATATATATATATATACATACATACATACATACATACATACTCGCACATGCCTACATGTATACATACACATGTACACATCTACACACACACACATATATATATATATACATATATATATCCTAGCGGGTTCACTTTCGGGGGTGGTTTTTGCTGTTGCTTATGTGCCTTTGCGTGCCCCTATCCTTCAGCACGGCCTGTTGCTCACTTGAAAAACACCGTCCTGAGCGAGGTTTTCGCTTTGGTGCATATGTTCCGCTCTTCGTAGCCGAGGGTTCTGTCTGATTTCCGGTCCCTTTTTTTGCACCAAACTCGACGCGACGCTTGGTAGCTCATTTTTGGTTGCGACTTCGTCCGAAGCTCCAAAAACGTGGCCTGCGTGTTACATTCCTGACTTCCTGAAGCCATGTTTTTGATGACTCGCGCTTTGCGTTTTCAGCTTTTTTTTGTCGGTGCTATCTTCCGTCATGTGCTCTGCTTGCTCTTGGGGGGGGCGCGGGGGGGGGAGGCAAGGGGGGAGGTAATAACGTTCTCGGGCAGCCTGGGCACGTACCCGTGGGCGAAGGGTTCACGACGACTAGGGCTTAGGTTAACGTCTACGGCGACGCTGTTACAGGCGACAGACGATCCTAAGCAGGAAGAGTTTGTGAGCTAGCATGTCCGGCTACAAGTTGACGCAAGACTCGACTCTCATAGCATCTTCTCCGGGAAGTCCTACGTCCCGTGCGCAAGCAAAAGTACACCGTGCAGATGCTGCTGTACAAGCAACAGCACATCCGTAGATGCTGTGGGCACGGCCGTCCACAGGGTGACATGCTCGGTGGTGCGCTGAAAATGTCTGGCCATCTTGCCAGGCAGTCGAACTCCAAATCTCGTTGGACTTCCTGCAGACCTTGAAGCCCTGGTGGTGGCACATAGCAGGTTGCCACGCGAAATCATTATCCTTCTCCGACCTACCAGATCGACTACGCAGCTTCTTTGCCTGGCTAACTGGCGATGCAAGCAGACACTCAGGGGATTTCAGCTGCAGCACGCTCACGGTCACATGGATCATGCAGACAGAATGCCGTGGCAATACCTTCTAGTGGCCGCGATGACGATGTGGCAGCGGCATGGGAAGTAGAGGTGGTGGTGGTGGTGGTGGTGGGGGTGGCGGTGGCGGTGGCGGTAGTAGCAAGCAGAAGTAGCGGTAGTTGCAGTACGGCTACCAGTGCTGCAATATGCTCATCACTCATATACACCACCGTAATAGCAATCGCAATAACAGCAAGTCATCACCACACACGAAACAAGGTCACTACACGTACTATCCAAAAACCCTTACCCATAAAATCTTTTTCTCGGTACACGAAACACCGAACCCCCAAAAAACCGATACACAACCACCCCCGAAAGTGAACCCGCAGGGACCTATATATATATATATGTAGACTGATTGTACACATACACATTAGCATATACATATACAGCCTCTACATACACATGGTTTATGCACATACGCACATATGCACATACACATACTCTTACACACGCACACATACCCACACGTGCATAGTTAGACATACCTATACAAATAATTTGTACATACATATACATACCGTATACATGCATATACATACATACATTGTGTATATATACATACATTTATATATATATATATATATACCTGGTTAGGGAAACCTCTGTTTATAAACAGGCGCAGGCACTTCCTGCCCAAGAAGTGAGCGTTTGCTGAAGAAGTGAGCGTTTCCCCAAACATCCGTTTTTGGGGGCTCAGGATTTCAGACTTCATGGTTTCAGGGTACAGGGGGCCGGCGAACATTGTACGACTTCGGTAAGAAATCCCAAGATAAACCAACATGAAACACTATAGGAGTAAGGATTGCGATTGGAAAGACATCGTTTCGAGCTTATTGGAACTAGCAATCTCCCGCCAAAAACCGAAGCACCTATAACCCTAAACCCCTAAATTTCCACGCGATTGCGGCTTTTGCGCTGGCTCTGCACTGCACGACGTCGAGGACCGAACCTGGGTAGTGAGTTTCAAGGTTTGTGGGATCTGGATGGCAATTTTTGGGATGGCTTCGGATTTTCTAGAATGCATGGATGTATAACTCGAAAACCCAAGTCTTGGACATCAGATTGTACACCATAATTGAACAAACAACCTCTAGACGACATGCGGCAGAGTAGCTCAAGTCAGCATTGACACATCCATCATCTCGACAGTTTCCTTGCTGAGGGATGTCTGCATGAAAAGCGCATATCTTTGAAGCGTTTTGATCGCGATAGCACGCGGCGAAACACGCCGAGACAAGCGAGCAGCCCGGCCCACAAAATCTTCGCTCATAAATGTTGACTCCGCCAGAGGGTTGCAGGCAGAGGAACTGGCACGCCATTCCTCGAATACCTTCAGAAATGCATGGTTGAGGTAATGAACCTTCGGTCGCAGCTTGAATAAGCATAAAGACAGATCGTAGCACTTGTTCACGAGCGTAGAATACGCTGTAAGGAATTTGTGCCCATTCTTGATGACGGTCTGACATTGCGCACTCGACATAAAATAGTCGGCCTCCAAACACGTCCGGATTACCTGACCAATTGCTTTGCCAGCCGCGAGAATATCATTTTCAAGTTGGGGCTGGAAGTCGGGCCTCTCCAGGAGGTACACGATGAAATTCGTGAAAACCGCTGTATCCATGTTCTTGGACCATTTGCCCTCGGGGTACTCGCGTGTGCCATTGTAGCCCAAAAGGTCCTCTGTGATTTTTGCACAGTGAAGCTTCTGTTTGGACGATGGCAGCCAATTCTTCAAGGCTTCGTTCAAGACGCTCACATCCTTTGCGACGGACCCCCTTCCAAACAGCACTTTCATGCAATACACCATTGAGGATGAACAGTAATCCTGGCCGACTCCCGCATGCCACACATGAAAAAAATCAGCCTTGTAAAAAGCTGCCGGCGTGTCATCCTTGTCCAGCAGCATGTGCTGGAGAAGCCGGCCACCGTTGCCGTCCCATGGCACCGGGTTGTTAAGCCTGCACGTCTGCAACCAAGCGGGCTCAGTGAAGCCAAGGTGTTCAAACGGATAAAAGATGCCATCCTCCGGTGAATCGTACCCTGCATTACAGAGCCAACAGCACCCCTTTTGCACGTTCTTGGAAGTGTGCCGTTTCCGAACATTGTGGAAGCTGCGAGTAGTCTTGGCAACCTTCTTCACGTATGGAGAGTCCCCAGTAAATCCTAAAATGATGATGCGCCACGTGCTCCCGCCCACTTCAAAGCCATCATCTAGGATTGCCTTCAGTTGTTCACTCCATACTTCCATGATATCATCGAAGAGTTTGTCATCAGTCTTGGCCACTAAGTTGGTGACAACAGTAAACAAAAACCTTGTGGCCCCAGAGCTTCCTGTCAGATTGATGCCCAGCTCGATTTCATTCTCCCGAGCCCTTTTTGAACTTAGGTCTACAGCTTTGCGCCTGGAGCCACTACCTAGGGCTGGAAACATGGAAAGGATCTCGACAGACTCCTTCTTGTAGCCACGCCCCCCATCCCCATGCAGGTAGTAAGGGATGAGCCTCGTAAAATCAATACTGTTGTTCTCGAACACGCTGTGTCGGGGGTAGAGGCCTCGAAATTTCTTCCAGAAGAAATCAAGACCTTCACTTGCCAAGTGAACCGGTAGGCCCACAACTCGGTGGAAGTAGCCCTCAGCACTCAAAGTTTCGAGCATTGCCCTGGGGCTCAGAAAAGGGTACTTAGCCTCCTTGCCGGCCTTTGCATAGCTAAAGTCAACAGGCCAAGCTAGCCCATGCTTGCGTAGAATGGCAAAGAGGGGTGCATCTGCATTAGATATCGGCACCTTTGCAATCTTGGCCAAGACCTCGCAAGGATCTCGCTTCCACGCCGTTTGGGCGTCAATGACCAGATCTTTGGCTGGGACCTTGGCACAGCAAGCTGTAGACTGTTCATCAAGGACGAACTCACGCATGCTGAGTGCACTTGCAGTTTGCAGAGACACAGGAAGCAAGCGCACTTTTGCATTTGATTTGGCGCAGACAGTTTCTGAAAGGCATCTGTGTGGAATCACACATGAGCTGCTAAGTCGCAAAACCACAGCACATCATCCTAGGATGGGCAAGCTTTGCGCAGCATTTGTAGCTGCAACATAAGCATAATAAGGAGGCGGGAACCTTGGCACAAAATCTTTCGTTCGCATACTCTCCCCACCAAGTTGTCGGTTTCGGCAACACCGTCCACCATCATGAAACTCTGCAATCAGAGCAGCTTCCAGCATCTCCAGCATGCCGAGCAGTTCGGCTCGGCAAACCTTGTGTATGACAGTGAAGTTTTGAAAGTTCTGCTCGAGGTAGCTTGCTCTGCGCTGAAGCGGGTTGGCAGTAAGACCAATCTTGAAAACACACAGTGCGTCACCACCATTCTCTTTTCGGACAGCATTAATCATCCGGACACAATGCCATAGAATCTTGGAGGCCACAGTGGTTTCTGAAATCAGTCTCTGATCAAGGTCCCGTGAAGCTGCCGACCTGGGGGAAGAAGGCTCCCGGGTGATTGCAGAAGCCCACGAAGCACCCGAGACATCCATGTCGATGTCACTATGACTTTGTGCAATCATGTCGTCTTCGGAATCGGTCCATGGAAAGATATCCATCTTGGCACCCGGCTCTCGAGATCTCTCGAGATCCATACATAACATGTGAAAAGCACAGAGACACACAGTACTCTAAAGGGCTATTCTGCACACTGTAAATGCGCTGCAAAGTCCAGGGAGAAACTTTCGTCAGAAGGTTTGTTGATTCTTTCTGCGGCTGCACAGGAATCAAGCAGTGGATGCCGACTTCGATGAGTTGGGGCCCCGGCACCCTTGCCATACTTCATGGCAATCAGCCGCACCTGCTCACTGATGACGGGGGCGACATAGCTGCCTGACAGGTGGGAGGCTCTTTCGTGGCAAGGTTACCAGGTTAGTAAGTGAGGGAAAGCAGTTGGCACTTTACAGGAATATATCTACGGTTTCGAATTTGGGGCTGTCATGTTTCTTGGAGATACCTGTCGACGGAGCTTTTGGTGAAGTTTTGACTAACTATCGATAGAAAGTTATCGGCGAACTAAGATCATCCATGACTTTATTTCCTGGGAAGTGGGGATGGCTTCGGGATGGTTTGCGATACGGGTTCTAGCTTTTCGAAATCTCTCACACATACACACACACACACACACACACGCAGTACATAGATGAACCAATCCAGGAGTTAAACACCGAGACTCATTCCCGGACACTATGCAGCATTTTCACAGATCGAGATGTTTATATTTGCATGCATGCATGATATGCAGGCCCTGCAATCCAGCAAAGACTTTCCCGCACTAGGCTGCGCAGGTTGTCCCCTCGATCGTTCTGCGTGGAACTTGCACCCCGAAAGGCGCTTCTCAGGGCACTTGCGTCGCGAGCACCCTAAACTAGCTAGGTAGCCTCAACATCCAGGGGTTCCATAGTATTGCATAGTATAGCTGTCATATGGCAGCATGCACCCATTTCAAACTAGCACCCTGCCTAAACTGGCTGTTGAGGCCGTCCAACCCCGTTGCACACCCTGGGGTGTGAAACAACATGTTTCAGCAGAGGTCTGGGCTTCGACTGAAGCTGTATATCCCAGCCGAAACACATCACACCTGCAAGTGCAATGCAATGACATGCGATGCTGGACCCGTATAGATCTACATGAAGTAGATTCTCCGTAGCACCAGCAACATGGCAAAGGCATGATGTGTCGATGGCAAAATCACCTCAAAAGCTAACGGACATCAAAAGTGTCCCACACTCCTCTGCTACTGTAGCATCGGAGCAGCCAAATCTAAATCAGACCCATCCAATCTCGGCGCCGAGATTGATCTCACTCGGCGTTTTTCGCGGCCTTGCGTGCCCTCGTCAGCCTCTGCCTTGGTGGCACAGAAGTGCTCGGCTTGACTATATGTTGGGGCAACGGTCTTCAATCATAAGGCGTTTGGGGGGTTACTGATGTTTAGTTAAGATTTATAATTTCTCCCTGAGCCCACCGGGTTTTCCTATAGAGCCAGCATAGGGCACGGCTTGAGGTTTCGATCTAGGCTCGGATGTTGTGAGCTGCGCACAGATCGATCACCATCCATGGAAGTGTTGGCTGAGACCCCTTTACAGGACTCTAGAATGGGTAATCCTGGAGCGGTTTAGGCTTGGATATAGGATCCATCGACTGGTATAAGGTTTATGTTGAAGTGCCCATGGTGATGGAGGGATACCATTGCGCGTGTGTATCTCAGCACACAAGTATATTTGCATGTCAGACATATGCATGGTACTGTTCACTCTGTTCTCCATTTAAAAGACGAGTTCGAGGTTTATAGGGTTTAAGGAGTTTGGGATACCGAAGGGGTAGCTTAATGCCATACAACACACACAGGGACCGGCCCGTCCAGCTACACATGTACATGCATGCATGGAACTTAAATGATGCACATGACATCCCCTGGAAATCTTCGAGCTCCAAACTTCCACAAGTCTCATAGTAAGCACACAGACAACAAATCAATATCCGACTCTGGCAGAACATTAGCCGACTACCTAGGAGTAGCAACCCGAACCGGGAACCAGGCTTGTTGGCAGTTTCCAAGGTTTCAGCCTGCGCCATCCTTGGAGCGTTGTGCTTCGAACTCAGGCTGGTTATGTTACAGCGGTCAACAGAACCGGCAGTGTTTAGGCACCTGCACAGGGTTTTGGCCAGGTTTCAGCTTCTGAGCTTTGAGAAACAAGGCCTCGCATTCGCCCTCAAGCCTGAGTCCCATCAGCCCAGGAGAGAAAGGTTCGGCGGCAATCAAGATTCTACATGCATCTAATCAGAGTGCAGCCTCGCAGCTTTGCGGAGTATCCTGAGACCTTACCCTCAGCCCTGGCATCGCCCATTTCCTCGTACAAAACCTCGATCTCCTTGACAAGACCAGTCATCTTGGTGACCACCCTCAGAGCAACACGCATATATAGTACAGGACTCATGCATGACATACGTAACACAACATGCCTGCTCACAATTGCATGCATACATATAGGACATGAACTTCATATTTCAGACAGTGTGCCCGTTTGTCTTCGGGTCTCCGGAAACGGCCACCTTAATCTTGTCCACGAAGCTGTCCAGTGAGTTCTTGGACTTGAGCACCTGCCTCAAGTACTCCTTCATTCGCGATGCAACCTGAGTTTTTATATCGACTTTGCACAACCACAGATGAATTAATCTTGCGACAGAAACCCGAGGTGCGAAGCATCCTGGAATATGGACATCATCGGAGAGGCACTCTTCTGGTGCTCCCCCTCCACATTCTTCTTGCCCTTGTGGATCATCCGGTCATCATCACTGAAGTCGAACCCATCAAGATGAACATCCGGCTTGAACACCAGCTCATCACCGCCTTCACCTTCATACTTTCGCTCACGCTGCATCATCTCGAAGTCCTCCTTCGTCATGGTCCCGAGCGTCCTGGTATTCACCCAGTGCTCGAGCGTCTCCTCATCGTATTCGCAGGTCCTGGGTTGGGAGGGCAGATTAGTTAATTGTTCATATGATATCGGGGCTTGGAGCTGGCACAGTTGGTTTTGCAATTCCCAGGATGTCCAGTCTTCCTATGCAAGTCACACGCAGCACTGAAACCACACGCAAGCATCAGACTGGCTACAATATGCAAGCCTCATGGAAGCTGTCCCCCGCGCCAAAATAGACCAAAATCCCAACACAGGCGTGCGCACGCAGCTGCCAGAGTGAATTGCATATATCGGGGCTTCGAGTGCGGAGTACACATGTCAGGCCTGCGCAGAAGTATACACATGTGCGCACTTGCAGCTTCCATACATGATATGCTCTAGTCAGACTCTAGTCTCGCGGTGCGGTGCAATATGTCAAATGGACACACGCGACTATAGCGGACTTTCGAAGCCATGTGATGCGTGCGTTGCTGTTGCTACACTGTACTGCTGCATCCTATTGCGGGCGCGACAGAGCGAGAGAGAGAGAGAGAGAGAGAGAGAGAGAGAGAACGAGAGTATGTGTCAGTGGGAGTGAGGGTATGATCGAGAGAATGGGAGAGGCCAGTGGAGCAGCAGAGCGCGAGAAGGGAAAATTAAAGAAGAGTAGCTGAGTAGCAGAAAAACCCAGGCACAGAGCGAAAGAAAGGAAGTGACATCTGACAGACCAAAGAGAACCAGAAATGTTGACAAGAGAGAGTGAGAGAGAGTGAGGGAGAAACAAACATCATCACAAAGATACACAAGCAAAGTAAAATTGACCTTCAGTTGAAGACGCAACCTCAAGAAGCAAAGAAGGAGAGACATAGGGGGCCACAGAAAGATCGCGGGCCAGACACAGACAGTGAGAAGGGATGTCGCGGATATATTGCCACCCAGCAGCCGAACGAGATTGTTCTTCTCGGCCCAGGCAACGATCTTCTCGATCCTCGACCTGGGATAGACTTGGGACGGCTGCTTTGATTAATTGGAATACAGCATGATGCTGCTAGATTGCGCATGAATCAGTGTTTCAATTATACATGAACACTTCGCAGGAACACTCCATTCAGGCATGAAGCTGGGAATACCCAAGCTCGGATTTCATATCCTCCTTGCTGTAGAAGCCGCCCTTCACTTCAAGCTTCTTGCTGCGTGTCGTCTTGGACAACACAGTGATGGTGTCGAGGAAAACAGCCTGGTAGGTTCATCTCGAAAAATTAGGCCTAAAAAGCATGTTAAAATCCTACGTTGCGTACAAACGGTTATAGTGAATTCAGGTTGATCGACCAGGATTGTGATTATAGCCTAGCTCATCTAGGGAGGATCCATCCTTCAGCAGCGTGCGTATAAACACGCATGTGCACAAACAGCTTGTATAAAACTCGAATCGACATCCCTCCCGCCTTGACCCTTCCGGACTTAGCCCACATTTGGAAGAGTTTCTGACGTCCTTTCCCGGCGTCCTTCCACATGTCGAAGATGTCCTCAGGGACCTCCAGATTCCCCGATCCCTTCTTTGGGGAGACGATCCTGCGGATCTTGTCCTTCTCAAGCTTATCCAAGGTATCGCCTTTGAGAACCTTGGGAGCCTCGGCCTCGGAGCTGTCATCATCATTTGTTGTCACCTCACTCGGAGCTTTCGAGGCCTTGGGGTTCTTCTTCACAGGGGTCTCGGGATGCGCACGCTTAGAGCCCCTGGGACTGCCAAGCTCGCGAACAGATGCCGCAGGCGACTCCTGGGTCGACACCGGCGCTGGCCGCTCTGGCTTCGCCTTCTGCGGCTCCTCACGGGAATGCCACGGGGCCGGGGCTCGCTTGCAAATGGAGTCACTATGCGTGATCGATCGAATACGCACATGGTCAAGCATGCATGCTTGCAAAAGAGGGATCGATAGCATGCCAAGATTGCACATGCGATTGAAATGGCCCGGAGTCCTGTGTCTGGGTCTCGCGGAGCTTGTTCAGCTCAGTCTGCTGGGCAAGCGTTGTAGCTTGGAGTAGGCTGAACTTCTGCAGCAGCTCCTGTACAATACGATTGCTGCATGTTAAATCGGCTGAGATGAGCTGCACATATAGAACGATCGCTGGCCAACTTACGTGGATCGATTGTTCAGATTATACATACATGCAGATCGATTCTCATGTGTCCTGATGCAAAGGATTGGATGCCGGCTCTGGGGCGGCGGGTGCTGCAGTGGAGGCTGGCGTTGGTGGCAGCGGCAAACCCAAAGACGAAGGTGTGCCAGGCGGGGCTTCTTCAGCAGGTTCGATCTTGACCTATATAGTTGGATTCGGTTAATCGCCAGCACGACCCATACACAGTCTGTGATTGCACGTGCACATGCATGCATGTGTTTAAAGGATGGATCGTTCGAATCATGAAGTTGCACATGTGCCTATAGACATTCGGCCATGCAATCATTGCATGCATGCACATACACCTATAGCCCAGGCACTCGGACGTGGGGCAGATTCTGCATCCGCTCAACCTGAGTCTCTGTGCCGGGCTCGGTCTTCACCTCCGCAGCTGCGACCGTAAGGGCGCCCTCGAGCTCCTGTTGCAGTTTATTATAGCAAGCAAATCGTTTGCACAAACCCCACAAACCAGATCATCGGACAAAAATATATAAATATCGATCACTCCTTTGCCACAAGCCGTAAGCTTTCGAGATCACCCGACGATGCTGACCGCAGCAATTGACCAAGCCCCGAAGCCAAAGTCTCCGCCGAATGAACATCCCTCTTCAACGCCATGGCTGCAGTCCTATATAGGATACACTTCACGAGACTGCGTGTTTTGTCTGCGCAAGGCCGCGCAAAAACCTATGAAAAAATGTCCAAAATCAGAACCAGGCGTGGCGTGCCCAAAAGTGAGTGTTGCGCTCCTAAAAGTGAGTGTTGCGTGCCTAAAAGCAGTTGTTTGGAAATCACGATTTTGCGCGTTTCCAACATAGATGCGCTGAAGCTGGTCATAAAACACGCAAAATAGATCAGGTCTGAGCCACTGAAGCCCACAGGCCCGCAGAATCAAGCTCCAGAGCACCATAGCCCCGCAACCCTGAAGCCCGCAGCCCTCAAGCCCGCAACCCTGAAGCACGCAAGACCGAAACCCGCAGCCCTGAAGCCCGCAACACTGAAGCACGCAAGCCTGAAGCCCGCAAGCCTAAAACCCGCAAGCCTGAAGCCCGCAAGCCTGAAAACCGCAGCCCTGAAGCGCGCAACCCTGAAGCGCGCAAGCCTGAAACCCGGGCCCCTGAAGCCCGCAACCCTGAAACACGCAACCCTGAAGCCCGCAAACCTGAAACCCGGGACCCTGCTCATGAAGCCCGCAACCCTGAAGCGTGCAACCCTGAAGCCCGCAAGCCTGAAACCCGGGACCCTGAAGCCCGCAAGCCTAAAGCCCACAACCCTGAAGTGCGCAACCCGGAAGCCCACAAGCCTGAAACACACAAGCCTGAAGCCTGCAAGCCTGAAACCCGGGACCCATAGAAGCCCACAAGCCGGAAGCCCGCAACCCTGAAGCTCACAACCCTGCACGCGCAACCCTGAAGCCCGCAAGCCTGAGACACATTGCACAACCATCCAACGCACAAGCCTGAAACCTACAACCCTTCAGCACAACCCTCGAGAACCCCTACATAGGAAGGCCCAGGAACCTGAAACCCACAGCCCTGCTACACACTGAAGCCCGCAACCCCGATCGAGGCCGACAAGCTGGAAGCTCATGTGTCACATGCACTCAGATCCCTCCTGCCCCTGGTCGATCTATGATATCGATGGATCTGTTGGCGTGTATACTAGGTACGATCATATTTCGATCGAGATCATTGATTGTTGAGCAGGGTTGTTGGGGCATTGTTGTGGAGCTATATAGGTATTCAGGCCGGCCGGGCTACATAGTACATTGCGCACACACGCGCATAAATAGGGATCGCGATTGTCTACATTTGCATGCGTGGATATATAATTTAATATAACATGCTTGAGGACTGCGGATTTCAAGCTTGCGGGCTTCAGGCTTCTGGGTTTGAAGGCTTTTGTGGGCTGCAGGCTTCTGGGTTTGAAGGCTTTTGCGGGCTTCAAGATTGTGGGCGCTTGTGGGCTTCAGTCTTGCATCGTGTATATACGGTTTATTTTTCATGCTTGTGGGTTTTTCGGCTTGGGGGCTTGAGGGCTGCGGGCTTGAGGTTTATGGGCTTCTGGGTTTTTTGGCTTGCGCGCTTCGGGTTTGTGGGCTTCAGAGGGTGGTGTCTGTCAGGTTTCGCTAGCCGAGCTTAAATTTCATTAAGCTATATAGGGGTTGGCCACGGCGGCCGCTTACAAGGCCTTAATTGAAACCAACGACCCCGAAGCACGCAACCTCTGAAGCCCAGAACCCTCAAACACACAACCGTCGAAAAGACCAACCTGCACGAAACCTATATGTGCAGAGCTTCAGCACACACGCTCGAGAACCCCCATTGCAAAGCCCACAAACCTGAAGCCCACAGCCGTGAACCCCGATCGAGGCCCGGAAACTGGAAGCTCATATCCCATGCAGATCTCTCTCGCCCCCATAGTCGACATTCGAATTTAATTATATAGGCTCGTATGATAAAGTGACCCCGAAACCTATATAGAGAAAGCACGCAGGACCATTCATGTGCCCTGTGGACAATTGTAAATGTAGCTAGACTCGACGTTTTAGACGGCCCAGCAAGACCCTCGCACACTTATAGCCCCAAGCACGCATGTCTGCACGCTCAAACTCTCCTGCAGCTGCAGGGTGCACACGTGGAGTTCAACGGTCAGGTCCGCAGCACCACTCGAGCACATCAAGGCAGGACAGCCACGAGTTTCAGTCCAGAAAAGCTAGTGTCATATAGCATGCATCTATATATACGTAAGCCATCGAGATCTATATACACATGTACGTGGCTGTCCAAACCTTGAACTGCATGTGTGCATGCATGCATGTCATTGCAGCGACACGTGTGCCTGGAAACACAGGTTGCGTACTAGTGCATTCACATTTGCAGACAGCACCCGAAACACTATAGGCATTTGCACAGACACGCGCGGACACACCCTGGTATATGCACGCCTTGTGCATCCATGGACTCTAGCTAGATTGCACATACACAAAGGACCCGCGTCGCAACTTACGCAAACAGAGTGCTAGGGAAGCATACCTTCCACTGTCCCGGGATACACAAGCCTTTGGCTCCATAGACATAACGTAGCAAATCCCAGAGGCCCGCATCAGCCCAATCATCTTCACCCATATCCAAGCAGCGAAGCCTCTCCACGGTGGAGGCATCCAGCATCTGCGTGGGCCGCATTGGCGGGGACTTGTTGAAGAGCGGCAGCAGCTCGGCCATTTCTTGGCCGAAAGGTCGTGGGTAGGTCCTTGGAAGAGGGGAGGTTTGTGGGATTTTCAGGTGTTCTGTACTTAATATAGCTAGATCGAGTAGGATTATATCGAATCAACTGAGCCTGTGTCTGGGTGCCCTTCAAGTGCTTGTTTCCTGTGAAAGTCTTTCGGCCCTCTTTGTTGATCTTGCGGGTCACTGGTTGAAGTTGACCTTTGCGAGCCCTCAGTGCGGTCTTCTCAGCAGCCGATAGTTTGCCCTTGTTGAATTTGAGCACTTTGCGGCTGCTGCTCCAAAGTACTGTCCGTTTAGGGCAGCTGTGGCCAAAGTGCATCAACCAGAAACGGCAAACGTAGACCTGGGGCAGGCAGGACTGGAGGGATTTGGGCCATTTGGGCTGTCCCTAGATTGATTATCGATCGGTCTTAAGTTGCTAGCTTTTGAAGCAAATCCTACTGGCCTCATGTGATCTGCAAAGCCATTGGAAACGAGGGTGCTTCCAGATTGTTGAGGAGCCCGGCTGCTCGATGACCCAATTGGCCCCCAAAGCCACGCAAAGAACTGAGACAAGAATAGTCCTCCCAGGTGTGGCATTTCGGTTCGAGAGAGCTACGACAAGGCAGGATTTCCCTTTGGTTTTCAGGGTGCTGTCTGGAGTCTGGAGTTATAGCTATATACATGCATGCAATATAATTGTCCTGCAAAGTTGGGCATTGCCCATACGAACGAACTGCAACTCTTGATCACCCAAGGGATTGCAGAAAGTTCTCTTGCTCGTAGATTTGCATATGGATACCCAGCTGCTGCACTGTAGCCCCTGCCACAACGTGAATCCTGAAGATCGTCCTTTCAGAACCGAAAGCAGGTGCAACCTCAGCTCCATTAAGATTGTACATATAATGTTCATGATTCCGACACACGCATGCACAAGTTTAGACTGATTGTACTGCGTGTCTAAGACCCGATCGCGAACCCAGGCGGAGTGCAAATGTCGATGGAACGGTGGTACTTGATGTCGAGCTTAGCAGTAGCATGTCCATATGCTGCCTGAATCTCCTGGGACATCGTCGCCTCCCCGGCGTAGTGCTCCAAGAAGACAAAGTCCTGCATCGTGGGGATCTGCTAGGGTTTGGGGCTTATAGGGTTTATGTAGGCGGGCATTTAGCGGGTTTATATAGGCCGGCATTATACCGCGCGGATATATAGGACCCGGGCCATTATGCTACGCAAGCTAGAGAGGCTCCCGAATGTAGTCGTGTGGGAAACGCGCTTCGGAAGTGCACACCCCTCCTTGTCAGAGGCCTTGGTGAACCGCTCATTGAACAAGAGGCAGAGCACCACGAGGATGAAGGCCTGCGTGAAATTGACTCGCACAGCTATCTGTATTGACACAGCTCGATTCGATGAGTATGCATGAACTTGGTCGGCACATGTCTGCAGAGCGGACCGCATACGTGGAATAACATTATCGAACTCATCTTAGGTATCTGCGCGATCACGTTTTTGCAGCAAACCCACCATGAACAACACAAGTCTGCCAGGCTTTCTACCATTGCCCTCCCATGCAGTGGCCTTTGGAGCTCCCAGCTTCATAAGGTTGTCCACAAGCCGGAACAGATCCATGGCCACAGATACGCGGGCACAAAGGCTTGTGTGCACTAAATCGGACAGCTGTTAAGAGACATTTTCGATTGATCATGCAGAACTGACACACGGCTCTTGGTGGCAGTCATGCACCAACTTAGAGTTCATGATTGTGTATGAATGTCAGCAGCAAGCACTCGAGATCGATCCATGTATGCGCACACAAATCGTCCTGAAACTTCGGTGTGGGTGAATCTCTCGATGCTTTCAACTAGACCTCCCGTGCCTGACTCTGATGCGAGAGTGTCTTCGCCGTCGGAGCTGCCAGGACATCGCCGACGACGTGGCATCCAGGATGACCTGCGCAGCCGGGCCAGTGCTTACGGAGCTGTAGCATGTTCACAGCAATCGAGACAATGACATCGCTCTTTTAGATGGGGAAACTTCAGTGAAAGCACTACACATCGGCATTTTCCGAGATGCATGTGCACGGACGAAAGGCACGTCTGTCCTACGTACATTGGAACCGGAATCACTGAAAAAGCGATCCTTGGCACAGGCAGCCGACACCAAACATGTATCATTAGGGCAGGCTGCAGCTTCATAGGTATGATCTCGATGCCTGTTACACAGCGGCAAAGCAGGAAAGGTGGCTGTTCATGGCACCTTGATACTATTTGATAGCGGGCCCTCCAACATTCAGGCGCTGGCTCCCGGCGGGAAGCAAAATCAGCAGCGCGAGACGGCTGATGCTGCTGCTGCGGGAGGTTCTTTGCCCCAGGGTCCGCCCGCTGCAAGCAACCCACACTCACTCGATAAACACATCAGTGAGACGAAAGTTTGCGAAGCTTTGCCTCGTACTGCTTGCGAGTGGGGCACTTTGCCCCATTGAAAAACTTGTTTCCCTCGTCAGACCACGACTTGCCTCAAGAATGACATACTGTGTTACCGAGATCTATAAGCCAGTCTATTGCATGCATTGTTGAATGCAAGCAAGAAACTGCAATCGTCATCCGTAAAGAAATCATAGGCCAACTTTTGCACTGGTTCGGCCCAGCCATCTTTGTCCTCCGGCGCCTCTTCCATGGTGTCAGCCACGAACTTCCACCAGACACCCTGCAGAAGCATTGAATTCAACCCATGAACAGCTAGGAACTGCATGAAAAATTTATGATCCGCACCCTAGAGGCCCTGCTTAGCATGCCCTAGCCGTCCTCCATCTTTGAGTGATTGGTGAGGAAGACACGCATGCTGTCATTGTAGGTATCCCGACACGCGAAGAACTTGGCCCGGTAGTAGGCACGCTTAGGACAGTAGCGACGGGCAAACGTCGGGATGTCCTCCTCATCGTCGCCCTCGCCCGGCTCTTCGGCCGGCTCAGCCACCGGCTCAGCCTTGCTCTTGCGCGCCGTGGCCTTCGATGCTGGCCTGTCCACCGTGCCAGCGATGAAGCCCTCGCCGTAGTACTCGGTGGCGTTCTCGACGCTCTCGTCCTCGGACACCATCTTCTTCATCTTCTTCATCTTCTTCAGCTTCTTCAGCTTCTTGAAGCAGCCCTTGGACCACGATTTGCTGAGCTTGCCCTTCTTCTTCTCGGCCGCCCGAGGAGGCTCCTTGGCATCCGTTTCCTCCGGCCAATCCCAGCCAGTGGAACCATCCTCGTCCCCCCACCAGTCATCCCAATCATCGTGCGCAGCACGCTTGCCCTTCGACTTTGGCACCGCAGCCTCGTCCTTTGCCGACTTGGCCTTTGCCTTTGCAGCACTCTTGGACTTTGCGGCGGGTTTGGCCTTGGCTTTGGCCTTTGCTTTGCCCTTGGCCGAGGGCTTTGCTTTGGCCGTCGCTTTGCCCTTGGCCGAGGGCTTGGGCTTCTTCGAAGAGCCATCGTCTTCGTCCGTGTCCTCGCCATCGTGGAACTTGTCATCGGGATTCTCAGCGGGCTTTTCATCGGGATCCTCAGCGGGCTTCTCATTGTTCTTGCCTTTCTTGGAGGAAGTCAGGGCAAGCTGATCCTGCCGAGTGATCACTCTCGCAGCCTCAGATGAAATTTCCCTCAGAATCACACAAGGAAAGACAATACATTGGGAATTGCAACCACTGGCTAATCGCTATAGCACTGCAATGCGGATTGTGACGAGCAACAGGCCTCCCAAGCTGTTCAGACTCTTCAAGGACCTCACTGAGGCGTTTTGCCTCAGCTTTGTGCGCAATCCGGTCTTTGTCTTCCCGCTCGCGAGCAAGCGCTTGCTCAACCTTCTGAGCATCCTCCCCACGTTGTGTTTCGAGCCAACTGTTCAGGTAGTCCTCGGCCGAGGGTTCCCAGTGTTAGGTGTCGACCTGGTCGGTCGATGAGCCTGAACCTGACTGGTTCAGTCTTGCATGGAATTTAAAAACTCACGTTATGAAGCATGCACGACTCAACTCCTGCATGGATCAACGCACATGTGCCACCTCGACTGCCGGCTGAGGTAGAGCCTGGGTCTGAGCGATCCTCGAAGTTCAGCTTGCGTCTCACATCCTTGCCCATCACGAGGTCTTTGGGACTGGCCTGCTGCCTTGGTCGTGCTTACTGACACGCACCCCACTGATTTTCAGCGCTCAGTTCATTTCATGGTACACGCATGAATCTACACATGTCGATATGCAATGACGCAATGTTGACAACGGCCAAAATCTCTCGCAGTTTGGCCGGGTCCATTCCAGCAAGTTGTTGCGCAAGCCCGGACAACTTCGGACGCGGAGTCGCTTCAGGAATGGAAGGGGCCGGCTTGAAGGAGACAAACTCCTCAACACATTATTGAATGGACCATGCTTCCAAATGACAGGCATATAAACCCACTGCAACGACTCTTGCTATAACGATACATGCTGAATTTGATCAAGACTCTGGACTTCCAGGAGACAAGGGGTCGGGCATGACTTTCCGGGGACTCTCATGACTCGGTCCAGTACCAGCATGCTCACGGTCACCTTCCGCGTCAGCCAGAATCTGTCTGTGAATTTCCGGCTCCACGTCAGCCCGAATCTGGCTGTCAATGCCTGCCCCGTCGGCCACAGGGGGGGCCATCTCGGATGGAACAGCCGCCTCCCTCGGAGCTGCCACTGGTTCCGAAGGCTTCGCTTTACGCAGCCGAGCATAAGTTTCCGGGCTGAGGCTGAATCCCAGCAACTTTTCCAACTCTGCCTGCGGCGGGGCCTTCAGGCAGGCCTCGAGAGGTGAGGGCGTCGACAAACGCTCTGTTGACGAGATCCCAAGCTTGCCCTCAAGCTTTCATCATCACCCATGTCGTCACTATCAGCTTCGTCCTCCAGCGAAGCAGACCTAGTCTGCTGGGGTGACCTCGCTAGTGCACAGCGACCTTCCTGGATTGAGCAATATCGGAACAGAAGAATCGCAATCAATGGAATGAAATACCGCAACTCTTCAACATAGGCTGCATGCAGAAACATACTGAATGCTTCATGCTAGTATCGGAATATGCTTTCGAGACAGCCTCAGCCAAATCGAGAACCATTGCGCGAATCTCATCATCCTGACCACGATCCAATGACAGTTTGCAGAATTCATATTAAAACATCGATCCTTATATTTCCCATCCATGGCACACGTGGTAGCTCCCATTTGGCCCACTTTCTTTTGACCGTGGTCAGCATAGCCTTGATGATTTCCGCGGACTTGTTGATGTTTCGTTCCTTTCTCATCCTGACCTCCGTACTCATCTGATTCTCATCATCAGAGTTTGATTCGTTGTCGTAGAACTTCCGAACAACCTCTTTGATCAAAACGATCGTCTTTCGGATTCGGCCTGATTCTGCCATCTTGCGAGTCATTGGACGAAGGACGGATGCATTCAGTTTTATGTTGTCGAGGGAGGGACAGATATGTCGCCGTCCCTTGCTGTCCACAAGCAGAATGTTTCGCCCCTGTGCACGTTTTCGGAGGCTTCGATGCTGTTCCCAGGCTTTCGCGCATTCAAGGAAGGAGAATTTGGCCATGAGTATCAGCGAAATCGCATCTTGAACCCCAACTGCGAGCATCAGTCGTTCCTTAACATGCTAGCTAGCAACCTCAACCCCAAGGCAACTTTCAAAAGCAGAGGGGGAGGGCTGACCTGATCGCCAGGAAGAAGATGCCGCCGCAGCCCAGGATGATCGTCCCACCTGGCCGAGATTACTCAGCGAAAAAAGGTCTCACTTTAGAATTGCTATAAATGCAGTACGACGTAATGCATGCCAGCAAGACCGCATCGGAAGTCGAGGTTTGGGACCGGCACGTGCACATCAGGACATGAAAGGCGAATCGACTTTTCTTTTCTTAGCACTTATATTATTGTCATTAAGAGCTTAATTTCGATTGTACCAACTGCACACCTCGTCAGGTCAGATGCAGCTCAACTATGAGGCTGATTCAATGGCCGAAGTAGCTAAGTGTAGGTGGATTCTGCAAACACTTCAGCTATTTCTTTATAAGCCTGCTAAGACTTGTATCAATTGGCATCACACAGCCTATCATGTTGCGACCTGGAAGCATCTTCTATGCACCCAAAATGAGGCTTCAGGGACAGAGCTCTGAAACGACATGCCCTTTCAGGGACACCCCCCCCGCCATGCAAGAAACAGGTGTTCGCCGAAATTGTGAGCGTTCGCACAACCTCATATTAATTAACAGGCGTTTGGGTTACCAGGTATATATATATATATGTATATGTATATATGTATATATGTATATACGTATATACGTATATACGTATATATGTATATATGTATATATGTATATATGTATATATGTATATATGTATATATGTATATATGTATATATGTATATATGTATATATGTATATATGTATATGTAGATACATACACATGCCACATACATACACCATGTACATACATGCATGCTTGCTGTCTTATCTGCATACGTAGATACATATACATGCATGCCTACAGGCCCACGGACGGACAGACAACAGAAGACCGACCGACTCCCAAACACACGGAGAGACAGAGAGACGAAGAGACAGAGACAAAGAGAAAGAGAGACTGAGAGACAGCGACAAAGAGACAGACAAAGGGACAGACAAAGAGACAGACAGACAGACAGACAGACAGACAGACAGACAGACTGACTTAGCGAATTACTATGAATTGTATATCCATCCAGGCATCCATCCATGCATCCATCCATCCATGCATGCATTCCACCCCGCTACACTGCGCCGCACAGCACTGCAGTACTGTACAATGCAATATTACATATGCCAGCGCACGGTAGATCACCACTGTGATAGAGCACCACGACGACCATGAAGACCACGACGACCACTACGAGCAGGCCACGAGAACAGCACCTCCCGACAGGACTACAATTTCAATGCTTCCCTGTATATACGAGCGGGACCTACAGTAGGAGCACCACTGCTGCCCTCAACGTACTGGCGACGACCACCATGCTTCTCCCCAAGCACTGGCGGGATTCAACAATTTTCGAGGCAAAAACGAGGCAAGGTATTGGAATCTACAACGAATCCACTAACCAAGTCTCCATACACCGAGCGTAGTGTGTACCGCGCTGTTTGCACGACAGTACAATCCGTGCCATTCCATGCCGTGCCATGTCATGCTAGCTTTCGCAGAGCAGAACCAGACGACGCAGACTTGTCACTTGTCCGACGGGTGTCCTCCATCAACAAGCCGGAATCCACGAAGCAGGTCCAGGCTTGGCCGCGTCGTGGCTGGTGTTGTGCCCTGAGACTCAGGCCCCTTCCCACAAAGAGAAGTTAGTGAGGGGAGGGAGGGTGGGGGAGGAAGGGAGGGAAATCCTCAAAGTGTGGAACTCCATGCATGGTAATGGGGAACGGGTGCGGGTAGTATTCATGAAAGCAATCAACTATACAAGTGGGGATGCCGTCTCGGCGCTCGCATTCCGACACAACAGTGAAGCGTAGCTGACGAGCGGCCGCAGAGGTGGTGCTGGGCGTCGGGGTACCTGTCGTCGACGAAGTGGTGGTTCCCAGCGTTGTGGTCTCTGCACCTGTAGTTGTAGTGACGCTTTGAGTGCTGCCCGTCGTAGTAGTCGTGGTTGTGGTGGTGGTTGCAGCGGTGGTGGTGGTGGTAGGAGCGGGGGTCGGGGTGGCGGTGACGGTGGCGGTGGTCTGGGGACACTGGCCCAGGGCATGCAAGTTCTCGTGGCCATTGTCGATGGCGATCGTCCACGCTCGGACGAAACTCTCCAGCCAAGCAGCCTCGTTGCCAGCAAAGAGCAGCACTGCATCCGCAGCAGGCCCACTGGGACCATTGCGGTCGCCACAATCGCCACCCTGATCGCCACAGCACTGTCCACGCTCTCCACGCCCGGGGTTGCCTCCGCAATATTCGCCCCCGTTGCTTGCCACCGCTCCAGGGATGGTATCGGATGTCAACCAAGCGCAGCAGTCGTGCTCAGTCGCAAGGACGGGGCCTCCATTTCGGCCATTCTCGCTGTAGACGAGGCACAAGTCGGAGTTGAGCATCATCTCGTGACCATCGAAGCTCGTGTCGCGGCCAATGTCGCTGCGTTCCCACTGATTCTTGCCAGCATTGCCAGCCACGGCGAGCTCTGGGATCCAGCCCTTGGCCAACAACGAAACGAAGTAGTCGTTGTTGAAACGGCGGGAGTTCTCAGGATCGCTCCACCATCCGTGGTAGCCGGAGTTGCCCACCTGTGCGCGACCCAAGCTGTGGACACCCATTAAAGCCGCAGCTTCCGTCCAGTCCAAGCCCATGCCATCCAAAAACGTCTGCTCAACGGCGTCGCAGCCGTTCTCTGGATTTGGCAAACGACCGGCAGCAAAGTCGCAGGTGACTGCAGTGGTACGGCCGAAACGGAAAGACGAGCGCAAATCAAGCCGAGGGGCCGACGGGTTTGCTGCTTCGTGTCGAGCTCTGGTAGACATTATGACGGCCTCTGCAGCAATCACCAGGAAGTCCGCCAAAGACACGCTCGTGCAGAAATCCTGGTAGACTTCCCGCAGTGAAATCCCATGCTCTCCGTTTGCCAGGCAAGCAGGCAGGCCGCCATTGTCTGCGTCAGTCATGTCCGTGCAGGCGTCCGCGCCACCTTGGCCATTAGCGAAGTCCATGAAGTCGTGCCCAGCCATTCGCAGAACGCAGCCCGCCCAGTCTGCTTGAGGGCAATCCGTGGCAGTGCAGATTGCTGGTAAGCTCTCCAAGTGGCCACGAACAGCAGACACAACGTCCTTATCTGAGAAGGGGATTCTTAGCTTGCATCTATGTGCTGCTGTGCGGTTGGACCAAGCCACGTCATATTGCGCTGCCGTCATGCAAGCCGTGGTCAACACTGCCCCCGCAGGACAAGGCATCAGTTCCGATGGTGTCGCATTCACCTGCGAGATCGCAGACAGACTCGCTCGGTTCGGAATTCGGAAGGATTGCGTACGATTACGTATGCTATCTGAGGCGGATCAAACCTAAAAGAAGCAACCTGGACAGTGGATTGAAGCTGTCCACGACGGCTACTTTGCTGCAAGAGCCATGGGCCATCCGTCCGCGGTGCGCAAGTCTCTCCAACACAAGTGGCGTCTACCTCGCAAAGGGTGCTCTCACTTAAGCTCTCGTGCATGAAAACGTGGGAGACCGCGGATGATTAACGGCGGTCAGGGCACTCCCACAAGTGAGGCGAACAAGAGAGCCCGCGCGACGGCCATCCCTTTGAAAGCTGGACGACAAGACCGCTGATCAGTATGGCAAATCCCAGCACAAACGGCTGCAACGGGACACGAAGCTGAAAGGCACATCGGGCTCTTGAGGCCTTTCTTGGTGCCTTCAACATGCGTTCGTGCACTGATACTTGCAGCGGCAAGGTCGGAGGAGCATCCGTGGACCCTCCCTCTGCCCACGAGCTCTGGGCCCCGCGACAAGATACCACCAAGCCGTTGGAAGATCGAAGTCGAAGGCCTTGCTTTTCCGGGTTAAACTCTAGAGCCTAAACCTCCATCACTAGGAGCCAACTCCCGAGGGCCGAAAGACGGCTTTGACAGATGTTCTAGACTATGTCGGGACAGACAAGGCTTACCTGTAGTCTAGGATGTCCCTAGTCAAAACCACGATGCCAAGAGCAGCACCAGATCTGCTCTCAATCGCTGAGCCGGCTGCGCCATCCTGCGCCATCTCCAATGGCAGGGATCCATCGCCGAAGCTGAGAAATCGCTCTAAACATTGGCTGCTCAACTAGCTAAAGGCTAAAGGGCGCATGTGCTACTACGCGGTGCAGCCTACTTAAAACCCGAATCCGACGATTGTTAGGTCGAGTGATGGCTTGCAAGCAAGACTCGGGACCCGGGAAACTTGTGGAGAGTGTTCGAGGCTGGCAGATGGATGCACGTGTTGCGCGCACGTGTTGCGCATGAAGCTATGTTCGCAGGTGGAACCGCGCACGGCTGCACACTCTTGTCCAGCTCCTATGTCCGAACTGGTTTCTTATCTGTCCTAGGTCACCGACAGTGCGATCACGTTTTGAATGTTGTGGGGGCTTTTGCTCGCATCAAGCCCTGCTCGACACTGGGTCATCGGGCGGCGGATAGTCAAGACCACAGAAATCGGAAGTATGTGCGCAGCGCACAAGCGAAACTGTCTGCAAACTTCCAATGGGCCACCATTTGCTATGAAGCTTAGACTCAGAGCAACTGCAGAGCAAAACCCGAGCATCTTCTCCGAAGAGTGCGGCCGATCAGATCTTCAGTAATTTGCACGTGGCATGGAGATCAAAAGTCCAGCCTGAAGCACCCCTTCCAAGGCGCCATCCCGAAAACCTGAATCCGCCGTAATCCGCCGCATGTCCGGCCATCCCCCGAGGCAGCAAAAGGAGGTGGAAGCCTCCTGTGCCGCTCTCCAATAGGCCTCACTACATTTCACAGGGACATAACGCCGGCTTCCGGGCTTCCGATGTCGGGGCAACTGCTTCTGGAAAGTCTTCCTTGAAGAAGCAGATCCCGAGAAGACTTGACAGAAAAGCAGCCGCAACTTTGAGGGAAGAGATTGCTTACTTCAATGCAAGGCAGCCGAGACATCGGACGGCCAAACCATGGAATACATCGCTGCTAGAGTGCAAACTGAAGATGGTTGATGTAAATTGCTTTAGCTAAGTGATACCTCTACGAGGGCGTCTTCCAAATCTCTATCAAGCGATGAGGACAGTCTCGACATCCTGGGCTTCTTTCCTAACTAGTCCAACCAGACCCTCAAAGAGTCCCACCTTCTTGGAAGTAGAAAAGCACCGCTCGCAAAGGTCGAAGTCGCAAGTCCTGAAGGCGAGAGTGCAGGCAGCTAGCCTGTAGACATGCAGTACTGGAATGAAGGCCGGAGGATTCAACCACATGCAGTCTCGTACGGAGTTTGCCATACATACATCTCGTCATGTAACAGAGACGCCTCCAGAAGTCGTGCAGACTTGCTCCTTTTCTTCGAGGCTTGAGGCAAGACCTCAAAGCTACTAGCGGGGCTAGCGGATAGCGTCGAGCGGCCGTAGCACTCCAGCCTGCGATGCTTGAAGATCTTCGATCCGAGTGTGCAGTGCTTTGTTCAGGTTCGTCAGCCGACCGCCAAAGCCCGAAATGTGGGCTGAGCTTCGCCGGCTCAGAGGCGCATGCCCACGGACTCCTTGCAGGGCGTCAGCTGAATCTTCTGGCACGCCAACAGTCCAACAGCTGAACCGGGCGACGACTTCGGCTCTCCGAAACAAAAAACCACATCCTGCAGCATTCCTATAGGGGAAGCGAAGCAGTGGCATGGCCGGAGCGATGCTCGTACACCTGCGCATGAGCCTTGATGCATCCAGGGTGCATAAGACCAAACAGACGGCTTCTGCTCGTGCAGTGCGAAGAAGGCATCAGCCAAGTCCGCCGGATCCTGTAGCATGACCTCGTCTGCCGAGGGGAAGAGACTGGAGTGGGAACAGGTGATGCAAGATAGACCAAGCAGTATGCCATGTTGAGATGATCACTCTGCGTCGTATAAACCGATGCACCACGACAACCCTTGAACTTCAGGGCAATCGCTGAAATGCGCCCAAACCGGGCCTTTGTAGCCCAGGCTTTGGTGTTTGGAGACTCAATGACACCATCGATGACGACGTGAGCCACATGAACGCCCTTCGGGGCATAGGTCTGATACCTCAGCGCTCCAACACTACTTACTTCTTCCTTCTGCATTCCGACTGCATGGGGATCGATTGACTTTCGGAGGCCAAGGTGCATGGCCTGGCCAAAGGACCGCAAGGCTGCCTTTGACAAAACCACACGCAGGCGACTGCGATGTCTGAAGTCTCGACTTCCGCAGAATCGAAAAACCGACATTTGCGATTCGACCTCTGACAGGTGGGGATTTCAGACCGTGGAAGCCCTGTCGATTTCCTTGATGGGAGCCATGCATGCAAACTTCGGTCCTGTCAGACATGTTCAAGGTCGCCACTCTTGTTCATCGTTCTGTGCAACGAGATCGGCAAAGAAAGCTGAAGCATGCACGATCGTCCTCCACGCATCGCCATCGTGGCGCCACTGAGGAGGATAGTGCCGCGCCCTCGCCTGCAGCATGCGGAGGAAACTAGAGACTCGAATCTGCATAGCCTGCACGATGGCAAGAAGTCTGAACAGCCTTGCAACGAAGGGGCAAATATCTTATCATTTGGCTATAGCGAAATCTAGGTTGGCGAGTATTTCGGCTCCATATCGGCTTCTAAGTGGAGGCAGCCAACCAAACGAAGCAAACAACGGTTGGTTCGTCGTCGTCATGAACATCATCTCCAGCACCATCGTCAGCATTATCATTCTGCTCGGGCTTGCATTTTTGCGTTTGCGGCGGAGTGCTCTGCCGTGTCATTTTAGTCAGTCTTATCAGACAGGCCATTATCATCCTCCTCATTATCATCATCATAATCGGGATCATCATCTCCGCCACCACCATCATCGTTCACGTCATCATTCCCATCCTCCTCCTTCATCGTCATCGTCATCACCATCATTGAGCATTTGCAGCTCTGCTGCCTTCGATTCTGCAGCCGTAATTACATGTCAGTAGGAATCCGGCATGAGTTGAGCGGAGCTGGGGTAAATCTGCGAATTACGCTGTGCACAATAGGGTCCAATGTTGCAGCTGTGCTTTGCAGGCGGGCGCAAGATTGACGAGGCAGTTCTCGTCCAAAGCTAACCACGTCATACCAATAGCAACCTCTTTGTTTGAAAATCAATGGCCGCAATTTGTACTTCAATTGATGACTGATATGATGTCTTGTGATTACCCCAATGGGGCAGTCCAAGGTGGGCACTCCATCATATCCGGCGCAATCTCACGGATGCATCGGACCTTGGTGGCTACAGTCAGAGTCTTAAGTGAATACGGGGCGGACCAGAAAGTCGAGCTTGAAAGCTGCACCACGATAATGCATCCTTGTCAGACCCAGGTGCACATCCGCTGACGCCAATGTTGAAGGCTCTCGTGAAGTATTCCGGGTCTACCGCCTGCGCTTCAGAACTTTGAATGCTGAGAGTCTGTGGCAGGGACTTCAGACCTCCTGACGTACCTGCCAAATCTACCGTACTAAGTACTCGTGCAAGCACGGTGAGCTCCCTGCAGCACCCGGTACTTTGGTCAATACAAGCCAAGAAGTATGTACAGACATGCAGCTCAAAACAACAACACCACATCAACTATGGTGAGATTGCCGTCTTTTTACCTGGAGAGGCTGAAAGCCTTGGGTGGGCCATCATCTGGAGCTAAAGAAGGTCTGGTATTTGAAGAGCCTGTTGCTTGACAATTTGGAGATGGGCATCCTTGTCGGATCAGACATGGCTCTGGGACTTGCTGTTTGCTTAGGCGTCAGCGTATGTCTCCAGCAACCAGTCAGATTTGCGGCGACCCACCCTCCTTGTCAAAACAGTAATGTGCCCACAGGACGTATAAAGACTACAAAGGCCGGATGCGCGGCAAGGACAAGAGAAGTGCTAAAGGTGCAAACAAACTTTCTAGCTGTTGAAAACGACGTGGAATGTGCGGCATGTCGTAAAGCACGACAGGTTGACGAGAGAAGCCGACACAGGGGCGCTCGGGACGTTTGGAATCTGAGGCCGACCGACGGGACGGCTGAGAAGTCAGCACTTGGAGGGGATGAAGCGCCACACAATCTCAGAGTCGCTCCCATTGCAATCAAAAGATCGGACCTGTCCTCGGCCATAGGAAGATTAGTGAAGTCGCAGCCGGGAGGGAAAGGGGGTGCCACGTTGTAGATCACCTCAATGAGATGCTAGCGAGTCGTAACAGTCATAGATAGATACATATATATATATATATACATACATACATACATGTACTACCTCACCGGCTGGACAACGCTCCGGACTCATGCAAAGCTTGAAGAAATCTGTGTTGTTGGCTGCAGAGGCTCTACTTCCACTGTGCCGAGCGATTTCGCCGAATCGAAGGCGTCCTTCACGCTCGCATTGTCCTCTCACGTGCAGCGCAGGAACATGTGTAATTCGTCCTGGTCCATCTTCCATTGTACGTATGAATACGGCTTCATCGGAGCATGATCCACGCACTAGCGTAGGAGAGAGAAGGTTTCAAGCCCTGCCCATCCTCCACATCGCATTGGATGCAGGTTGCTGTGCCGCCAACAGCTTGCACCTACGAAAGCACTGAGCTCCAGCTCAAGGCAGCTCTGCAAAATGAAGGGCAACAAACTGTCTTGTGAACTTTTTAAACAGCCCTCCATGCCAAGGCTTCCTGGAAAGCTGACAAGGTCCAGCCAGGCCTCTTTGGCAACCCCTTCGAGGATGGGCACTCGCCGCCCGAGAAGGGCAACGTGGAAGCCGCCCTTTCGAGACTGAAGGACAGTGGACGAAGGCCATGCGTGATGCATTACGTTGCAGCAGCGAGATTCCTTGCTAGGAGTCATCAGACGTGATTGCCTTTCAGTTTGGTCTGGCTTCCTCTGAGTCTGCGAGTTGCACTTCTATGCTTCGAAGGGAAGTTCCGCTCTGAAAGCTGAACCAACATCTGACGAAACAACTCCCGAAGCGTGACAAGAAGCCGTCCCGATGCTTAGTATGAGACCTCGGCCCCTGATACGGCCTTTGCGAAGCGAAGGCAGAGGGCGCCTCCCAAGCCCCAGCGGCTTGCCGGCGGCAGCTCCGTGTCCGTGCCGTCCTGGCCGGTCAGCCCATGCATGGGCTGCGATTTGCGCTTTGCAAACTGCGAATGGGTTGGATGTCTCTTATCGCTCCGCAGGGCTGGCGACAAGCACGACAAGGCAGTGCGAATCAGAACCCGTCCCTCGCACCCCGGAGCTTAGCCTTCTAGGGGCAACGGCGGAACTCACCCAAAGCAAAATTTGGGCCATGAAACTTCACCAGGGCTGCACCACGGTGGCACCACATGTTGAGAAGAAGACCGAGACCGTCGAAAGTACTGCGTGCTACCTCCGGCCTTGTCATGCTTCGACGCTGCGCCGACGATGACAGCAACCTTCGCCATTCTGTGCTCTGCCCCTGGCTCCGCTATGCCCGCTCAGCCACAAGGGGCCGTTGAAACCCCGAGCCAGTGAGCTGCGGAAGTGCGAGGATCAGAACCATCAAAGGAGCCATGATGCAGGTGCTGTCGAGCACAGCAGTGAGTGGAGCAAGACGAGCATCTGGCCTCTGTTATTGACAATCACCCGATTGGCCCTGTTCGAGTTCCAAATGGACTGCTCCTGCAGCGGTATGTGAAGCTGCAGTCGATGCGCCGTTGACACCTGCCACATGACAAACTCCTTGTGTCAACCTGATCCCGGTTAGTTCTCACCCACTATCTCCACTCGCTGCATAGAATTGAAACTAGACCCAAAGAGCATGTCATGCCCGCACCCGAAATGGACGAAATGACAACTTCAATCGCAGAGCTGCTCCAACAATGTCCGGGGCATCACAGGCTTCAACCGCAAAAGAGACTGCCGTTTCACGAACTTGGAAACCAAAGACTGCAACAAGCATGTTCCAGTGAGACTATAGGGCTTACATCAACGCCTCATCTGAAAAGTTTGCATAGTCATCATAGTCTGTCTGAAAGGGCTTCCGAGACAACTTACATCATCTTGCATTTCTGCCAATCCCCCCGCCGTGCCAGAATGAAACCCTTCACTGGGGTGATTTGGATTTTTCGAAGCGTTTAACGCTCCACGGAGCCTGTCACAGAGCTGCGTGCCGATGTCGCAGCCGACCTGCAACTCGACTGAATGCCGCCTTTGCTGGTGTGGATCTCAACTTCGGTCCAGCGGCGAGCTCCAGTGCATGGCCAGCGCGACAGCGGAGCGCTCGAAGTGCCTCGCCATGATATGGCAGTCCGTTTCTCAAGATTCGAAAGTAACCCATCAGCGACATCACCATTAAATTCTATATACATACACTTTCATAAAGTGGAAGCATCATTGAGCGAACCCTCCTCGGCAATGATCAAAGGTGGCAGATGGAGACTCAACATGGCAGACAGGAAGTGCAAGAAATGCGCAATGGTACCCAGAAATCCAAGCACGCCGCAAAAGAAAGATGAGGCTCGAACATGAGCTATATATATACACCCACCCTCATATACACATATATGTGGTGTTCTATCTGTTTATCTAATTTATTTATATACCTACCTACCTAGCTACCTACCTGTATACTTATCTATCTATCTATCTATCTATCTACCTATCTATCTACCGACCTGTCTATCTATCTATCTATCTATCTATCTGTCTATCTATTTACCTACCTGTCTATGTGCATGCATATGTGCGATATTATACATATCTATATATATGTAGATAGATGCACACACACACACATATATATATATACAAAAATTCATTTAGGTCTCAATTTATTTTTTTGTTTTTATTTGTGTACATACATACATTCACTCACGTGAATATGGGCATCGATACAAGAGCTCTGCCTTCCGAGAGGCTTGGCTGCCCAGAGATCGGAATGCATTCACAACTCGGACGGTTTCAACAGCAAAAGTGAGGAACCTCTTCTGACTTTCGGCTCGAGCAAATGGATGAATCCAGCAACTACCTGTACAAGCATGCTGCGATTCATTAGAGGTGGTTACAGTTGTTGTTTTGTTATTGCTGTTACTGTTGTTGTTCTTGTTGTTCTTCTTATTGTTATTGTTGTCGTTGTTGTTGTTCTTCTTGTTCTTCTTCTTGGTCGTGGTGGTGGTGGCGGCGGCGGCGGGGGTGGTGGTGGTGGTGGTGGTGGTGGCGGCGGTGGTGGCCGGTGCTGGTGTTGCTAGTGGTCTGGTGGCGGCTGTTGCGGCGGTCGCGTGCCACTTCCTCTTCTTGCCCGTGTCCATGATCCGTGTGCGAACTTGTGAACTTCTTGCAGGCTCGGACATAGGAAACGCTAAGTTCACTTCTTCGCCTGACACAAAAAACAACAACTGTTCTTGGAGCTTGTTCCTACTTGGCCAAGGGCATGGTAACGTGACCACGCGAGGCACCACACCTTCACGCAACCGCTAACATGCCTAACTCAAACGCCCCTAATCCGCCTCGCCCAGGATTGAACTCGTCTTGTAGTTCTTGATAGAGTCTGATAGAGCAAAGTGGAGCTACCGATCTTTCTTACCCCTTCAAAAAACCAAATCCTGATCCGGTTACACGGAACTTCGGGAAGCACGTTCAAGATCCCGGTGTGCCCGTGCGCGGCAGAACTTTGGAGTCGAAGCGCAACAAGCAAACATGTGGGGGCTTCAGAATTCTTCAATTTAGGTCTGCAAATTCCGCAATCGTGCCAGGTCAGGTCGTTCCGCAACTGGTGCCTCGCGTCTGGCATCGAGCTCGGCGATCGCCATGGCAGCCCGGAGACAGAAAGGTCCGAGACTCGATCGAATATCTAAGTCTTTAAGGCTGTCTATATAGGAGAGACATGCGCCGCAACACGATTCTTCGCTACCGGGCTAGTGTTGCAGAAACAGGTGCTTCAGCTTCGATCAAGCTCCTTGTTCGATCGTGATGGGGCTTTGTTTGATTCTCGGCGTCTACATGAGGAAGCCAGCTGCGCTTCAGCATCCACCCGCCCTGGGACCTGAGATCTAGAAGACGAGGACGGGACTCTGGGGTCGCTGCTACTGAAAACTGGGGGAGTATCTGATTCTCTATCCGCCTCTGGAAGCTGACATATGTTTGGCACTGGACACAACCCCAGTAAGAACATGGATCAGACACTGGTGGTCAACCCAACCTTCCCGACTCCAATGAGCAATTACAAGTGTATGCACATATGTCACCGGTGTTGGTGCCTGGCACTGCTCAGAATGCGCACAGACAGATCCGAACGGCGAAAGAAGCGCAGGGCATGAGGGTGGTGTTTCTTGCGACACGTTCCCAGTTGTTGCGCGCGGCTTTCTGAAACACTGGTGTCCTCACCGTGCCATCATGCGAGGCGTAGAGCAACCTCTGCCTATCAAGACCGGCTGCAGCCTGATAGGCAAATGATGGCAGTCTCCTAGGATTTGTGATATTATACTGTTGTGACAGCTATGTCAGCTATCTTCGTCCGGTCCCTGGCAAACGGAAGCATGATAAAGCAAGACAGGTTGGATAGCTTTCAGCCATGGTGCAAGGAAGGGGGCTCTCAGCTCACACTTCTCGGCTCAGCATGCCCGCTGATAAGGCGCTGATAAGATGGAACAGCCCGCTCACTCTGCATGCTCGATCACTGGCGCTTCTTCAACTGCGCAATCAACAGGGCAGCGGTTAGGACAAAAATCGTACCTGCGAAACACCTGAAGTTCTTCAGGTCATAATTCTCTTGCTTTGCCCAACAGGCATGAGTGTGCACTGGGAAGCCCTTTGAGTCCCGCAGGGCCCTGCGGCACTCCATCCAAAGGACACGAATGATGGTGGGTTCCTCATGCGTCGAAGAGGGCCTAAATTTGGTGTGCTTTGAGTTTGCATGTCCACAGCAGGCATACATTGAACACGAGTAAGAAGGACACTTTGCTTAGCTGAACGACACGGTCACCTCATGCCAATCAATTCAAACGACAATGGTCACAAAACGTCGGGTAGCCTTGGCTGCAGCTGCAGCGACGTCTGGCTCCTCGTCGCTGAACAGAGCATTGCAGCAGGTGATGAGGCACCTCAGACGAGTTTTCGGCACTGAGTCAGTCGTTGTCGCGGCTCATGCACTGGGATACAAGATGATATAAGATGATAGATGCTGCAGGGCCGTCGGGACGACCCCTGCTCAGGGAACTGACATGTCTCAGCATGGCACATACCAAGCAATACCACCAGAACAAGGAAGGAGAACGCCGCCCCGGCGACCATTAGTGCCTGCAGATTCCAGGCTCCGGGCCAAGGTGGAGAACATCTCTGACGGACGAAGAAACCCAAGCTGTTAAATGGGACTGCTTCAAGACTCGATGGTGATGTGGCCTCCATCCAGCCTTTGCTGGCGTGTGCGCCCATACGCACTACGAAGCGGCCAGCCTGCCCGGAAAGTAGAGAGCGTGACGACTTGAGGGGAGGGATGTAGCCGTGTGCTCTTTGGTCTCGAAGCGGGTAAGCTTTGGCCGATGTGGGCTTGGCCCCCAGGCCCCCAGAACCTCCTTCTGCCAAAAACTTCTGTTGATGAGCATTCACTGTCTGAATTTCCTGGATTATGGCAAACTGCGCCTGCGTCGTACATCAGTCTATCGGTAGCAGCACTAGACTCGCTTAGTGGCAAGGGTTCTGACAAGCAGAGGCTGTCAGTCACTCAAGCGGCCTCCCTTTTCCAGAACAAGATCTTTCCCAAGATGGTGCGGCCCTGCACGCAGCCATGTATCGGGGATTTGCATGGCTTCCAAGCATGGAGATTGCCAACACGCGCGCAAGTTTTCTGGACGAGGAGCAGCCCTTGCTGTCGGTAGGTCTCTCTTGCAGTAGGAGGGGCCACTTCAAGTGACATCTAGCCCGGATGCACAGGTTGCGGTATTGGTTGGATTCGAGCAGATAAATGTTCGACCGGGGCCAACATAGACCCCTCCTTTGCACGTTTGTCATCTGTTGAATGGGAGCTCGCTTCTCACTTACCCTGCTTGAGTAACTTTCGGGCATGGGCTTGTTGTCGGCGCTTCAAAATCTGCACATGTGGACTGGAGACAACCCTCTCAGCTAAACGGCGAACATGGCACCTAAGGAAAGTGACACCGTCGCGCTTCTCATATCTGTGGATCTCTACCCCGAAAGACTTGCCAACTGAATCTGTCATCGACAGCAGTAGACCACCGGGACCCAGGAGACCACCCAGAGACAAACAAGAAATGATCGGGAGTAGCAGGAGACCAATGCCCTTCCCCATAAGGTAATTACTGCAGAGAGGGCAACCGGGAAACCCTGTTGGCCCCCAAGTTCCTGTCACATATTACAGATGCTTCCACGATTCCTGTTTTCGTCTGCAAACACTTTCGAAACATTGTCTTTGTTTGAGAAACGCGTCTTGTTGTAAAACAGGGGTTGTTCGCAGCACAGATTAATTAACTAGTTCATAAGATATATACTATATACAAATTCCAAAAACCAGCCCTGTTGAGTACCGTTGAAAGTGGGTGTTTATCTCAGAAAGCAGGAGATCACGGTACAACCGAAACAAATAATCTCCACTAATTCAAGGCTGAGACAAGTATGAAACAACTTCAAGATAAGGTACTTGGGTAATTTTAAACCTTCGTGGATTAGTCTTGAACATGACTTAGACATCGGACTAGGTGTTACAGAAAAGTTGTTTGACTTTCACTGAGTAGTCTCTTACCATCGGCTCAATATCAGTTACTTAAGGCTGATAGGGTTGATCTCGTCATGGAGTTTCAACTAGATGCGCGTTGAATATTGGTTGCCTCAACATTTACCCGTGGTGAATACTTTTGAAATCATAGCACTGCCTTCAAGCTGTAAGCCTGTGATAAAAGGCTGTTTGCTGATTGTACTGAAGAACACAATTCAATAACGAGCCGAACCCAAATGCAAAAAATGAGAACATATCAACATGTGTTAATATGGTGCGCACAACACGCAGCCATATGACAATGGTTCAATGTTAAGCGAGAGTTCGATATCAAGCAGATATGTAAAAAGGCTTTAGTTGCCTACTACTGTATAACACAGACATCGTACCTAAATACAATGTAAGCGATATGTGCTAAGCAAGCATTCACTCCGTATTCGTCTTAAACTGATTACATACATAGCTGTTAAACTACACGAACACTGCTTAAATACAAGGCGAGTATGCAGCGGATACCAATGGGGTAGCAATCAAAGAGTCATTTGTGGTTGAGACACTAGGAGGGAGCAACATGTTCTGGCGGGATTCAGGACCACGGCCAAAATGCTTCCCACATGTACTGAAGTGGGGTTCAGACACACACACACACACAGCCAAAATCTTTCCCCGCATGCATGACGTGGTCGCCAGGATCGCACGGATAACGCGGATTCCCCTTGCACCTCGGGCACGCCTCGGGTGAACACTGACCAATTCTCTGTACTTCCAAATGTAAGAACCCCCTAGTAGTGTGCACCACACTAACTACCAGTCGCCTTCTAAACACCGCAGTGTACGTAATGACCGGCTAAGAGGCCATCCTTGATCTTCTGGGTACGGAAGGGTCGGCGAGCTCGCCAGATCGGGTCGGGCGTCAAGCCTCGAGACTTTCTCTGCGCGCTTTCCATCCGAAATCTGTACAGCTATAGGCTGTAGACTCTCCAAGCGAAAGGGCAGGCAGCCGCCATTCGGGGGTGCCTGCCCTTCGAAGTCTACCGAGGGTACCCGGCGAGCAAGGTGAGCTCAGGCATGTGGGAAGTCTCTGCAATGGCACAGACTCAGCTGGGTAACCTCTCTCAAGTCCCACATTGGGGGAGCTCGGCAGTCGAAAAATCTTGCATCCAAACCTGGTGTTTCACAGCCATCACGTTCTCTGGACCGGGGATGATGCTGCGCTTCAAACTATCGCCGGTGTGTCGTGGAAGAGCTTCCCCCGAAAGCTTGAATTTATTCCCGTTACTCAAGTCGCAGTTGATGGGATAGGGATAAAGCAGCAGGTAGTTAAATCTGGTTCCGTTTGCGGCTGAAGGCTCGGCTGCGGATGTTGACGGACACTCTTGGGAAGGCAGCTTTCCAAACATCACCTGTGCGATGGAACAACGAGGCAGCCCGAACAGGAAACTACACAGCTGCTGGGCTGACATCATGTTTTGGATTCAAGCTCGCTTGTGCTTCCGAGGATTTGGAGTTCCGGAGAACTGGTAGGTCTGTCAGTACTGGCACCATGTACAACAGGTTTCACTAGCCAATGTCCGACATCTATGTTTGTTTCGCGCAGTCACTCGAATCACCCAACGAGCTTGGGAAAATCCTGCACAGAACATCAGACCTGGCTTCGGCGCTTTCTGGCAGAACGGACAGCTAGGCTAAAGCAGCTAAAAAGCCCATCGTTTCACCCCTCCTTCCGATATCATCGGCCTGAGATAAGGGCCCCGGCCGAATGGCATTGCCTCCGAATTGCATGCAGCTCCTACGTGTCGGTAAGTCACAAAGTTGTGAAGGTGTCCCATTGCAGCGGGCACGCTGAGATGACTCAGGGGTTGAGCCGAAATGAAGGGAAAGGAAATTCACAGCATGTCCACGCCAGAGAGATCATCTCGCCAGGCTGGAGACCTTGCGGCGGCCAATGCTTCCTAGCTGCTGTTGTGAAACTGCTTTGTGTTGAGTCCTCGGCCTGATGCCTCCTTGATGGCCCCAGCCTTACCCCTCAGTCTTCCGAATGAGCTCACCAACCGAACAGATCCTGCCTTCGACTTAAATGCTGGAATTGTTGGTGCCCTCGTTCGCACAGAGTGCGAGCGCCTCCGCACACGAATGTGTCAGACACTGCATGGTTTGCGAGTGCAAAGACTGTTTTTACACCAGACTTCACTGCAGCAGGGTTTGGTTTTCGAAGGCTCTTGTCGCAGGCAGGAACGCCCAACAGCTTAAGGCATTCCTCGCCGGCGGTGAGCGTCTTCAAGGATGCCGTGGTATTTGCACGCCTGGGCGACAAACGTTACTACTCAGTGTGGTCACAGCATGCAGCGAGGCTTCCTCTGCACGGCAACCTCGCTGCAACCCAGTCACATTAGATCTGCGTTCCACAGCATCTCCTTCAACCGACACCAGAGTCAGTAGTGCATCATGTCCCAATGCAAAATTCAGAGCATGGCAGGCGAAAGCTAGTACACAGCCAGCAAGACAAGACGGAGGACTTGCTCGCCGACTCTAGCCGACTAGTGTTCCTCATGGGCTCGTGTCAGCAGATTAGCCTTGCTGCTGCAAGCCAGGTCTGCTGATGTCTGCTGTCGGACTTGCATTGTGCAAGTGATACAGTGATACACGATAAGGGTCAATACTCGAACGCCTCAAGTACGGATGGGGCCTCCTTCAAGGACGTTGCAGAAGCTCGAAAACAGCTTCAGCTGAACGACAAGCCATTTCATGCATGGGCTCTGCGAACCTGTATCTCTCTGGTATATCAGACCAACAGGTGACCAAAGGTCTAAAACCACCGCAACCTCCAAGTAGTAGAGTAGCCTTCGCGATATCTTTGCGGCTTCGAAAACGTAAAGGATCGTAACTGCAGAGACTCCTTGAATTCCTGGAGATCTATCTGCTTGTCGCCGTTCTGGTCCATGTCCTTTCAAGGGGAGAGAATTATCAGGATCGCGGAGGAGAAGAATTATCAGGTCTCCTCCAGTATCTGCTGCAGCTCCTCAATGGGAATGTGGCCCAGCCTGTGGGATGCTTTTTCACGGATCGGACAGTAGTTTCGTAACCATCCTCGAAGCTCTCCTGTATGCCAGAATCACGATCACACACGAATAGATGTGCAGGTGGGACAGTCTGCTTCTGCATTCTGTCCACATGTTGAAGTCTTCAGTTCTTGAGACGAAGGATGGGAGCTGCTGATGAAGACTCCACTGTCGGCAGCTACATGCAGACCTCTTCAAGGGGGCAGCTGAATGCACTGAAAAGACTGAACACATCACCCACCTGCAAGCTTTTTGGCTGGGCCCGGTGCATGCGGCCAGAAGAGAGTTCGTCCAAGTCAATGGAGCCGTCCTTGGACAAGGTCAGTCCGATGCGACTCCGCGACGATTTACAAGCCCTTACAAGCCTTCTTTGATGCTGCCGGATTCTGCTGCGGTGAGGCTTGTGGCAGTTGCATGCTGTGCCCTTTGTTTGACCCGAAGGATTGACACTTCCGGTTGAGATTCCTGTAGCAGCCTTGGCTACATAGCCCTTAGCCTTATTTACCAAACAAATGATCACACGGTGCTGAGCTGTGTGGAACACCTGAGGGTGCGTGAAAACCCTCCACCCATACGAGTATCGTTTTCAGGACTTTGGGGCTGCATGATCTGAGCTAAAGTTACGAACATTCGTTATCGTGTGCTTTACTCTGATCGTTTTACAAGGAATTCGATTGCTCTAAACTCTAAACGTACGGACGCATCTACTTTGAAAAATGCTCTCGGGGGTTTTACCATCCCTCACCTTGGCTTCTGGCATTGTTCTTGTCCAAAATCTTGAAGGCTTCCTGTACCACGGCATCCGTAAGGCAGGCTTTCCTGCATTCATGCAGCTGGATAAGGCGCTGCTTCTCAGTTGAAGTGCAGCAGGAGATTGCTACATCCGTCTTGCCGCGTACAGGGCTTGTAATCGCCTGAACGGTTTGGCCGTATTGCGCGAAGGCTACTGTAAGCTCCGAAAGGCAAGTCTCCAAAACTGACTCTTCCTGGACCCTGCGCCGGAGCCGCTGTTTCAAAGAGCCACATGTCTATTTGCGGCGGCGCCGACAACATGCTTTCAGGAGCAGAGATTTTTGAAACAGCTACCGCGATTGCAAGCAAGAGTGATTGAGATGGGACAGCACTCCAAGAATGTGGGAGTTTGGCCCAACAAGCATCCAATTGAGCAGGCTTGCAGCAGCTTCGTGGGCATGAGATGCAAGCTGCTCGACAAAAACCTCCCAAGACGAAGAAGCACTTAAGAGTTTGTTGGAAGCAGCACCGCAACGTTGAAGCGCAACATGGTTGAGCTGCCCATGCGCTAAGCATGGGCCCTGCAATTTGCCTGTGCAAGCCTTTACACATTCGCATATGTCTTTCCTTGCGGGCTTTTTTGGCGGGCCACTTCTCCGAAAGGACACCACGCACTAGAAACGTCAAGCTTCTTTAGACAGACTTCCCGTGCTGGCCGGACCCGCGGCCTGTTGAACGTCGCTGCGAGGAACTCTGTGTAGGTGAAATCCTGCGAAACCAGCAGTAGATCTGATCTGACGCCAAACCATGAGAATTATCGCACATGAGCAAAAAAACAAAGTATCCTGGCGTCGGGCTACAGTACGGGTTTCAATTGCGCGTTGGCCTCCGGAGCTCCACTGACTTCGGCGATGCTTCCGAAGCAGGGAGCAGCGAGCCGTGTGTCCCTTCAATCTATACCAAAAGAAGTTATAGTTGGCATCCTAGTTCCGTTGTACCTCCGAGTATCTCATATTGTGGTGAACCGCCCTCCCTTGCATCGATCCACACAGCAAGATCGAGCACTTGCGCTTACTCCATCCGGCAAGGAGTAACGACCCGCCGAAAGCAATTAAGGACGACATGTGGATAAGGTTCAATATTGAGGCTTGTTTGCCAAAGCTACAGGAACAACAACCGAACTGTAGCCCCACCAAGACTTGTTCCGAAGGTCCAGGTATGCACACGAAGCCTACCTCACGCACTCCAGAAAGTTTTGATTCGGAAACGCGGGCCTTAGAGGAACCCGCCAAGCTGGAGTCGAAGTCTCGAAAGATTCCTTGGCGCTCGGTAATAAATCTTGGGATTCTCTCCGGAAGAATCAAGTCGGGGTCTACCACCGTTTAGGGTTTTTCGGCTTGAGGGTTCGAGCGTTAGCTTCGTGGTACAATCACATTCTAGCCATGGAAGTTCAATGCTGGGCAGGTTCCGCAAATGCCTGGCTGGTTCCTTCCCAGCGGCTCTCCACTTCCCGTCGTGTGACATCCTCTGTGCAAAGCGGTCGGAGAGGTCTTGGCACGGATACGCGCGATTCCAAAACCCCAGCCGATTCGCACAGCTGAAGCTCAACCACGCGAGATCGGTCCTTCTCCAAGATGCCCTGCTCTCGCCTCACACTGCACGTGACCAGACTCTTACGTCTCTTTCAATGGAAACTTTGGCCAAGTTGCTGCTTTCTGAGCCGCTTCTCCACCTGTGGAAGGTTTCAGTTTGGTTGAGAGCCAAAACATCCATAGTACCGGGCTATGCAACTACAGTTCTGCAAAAAGAATTCATGCTGCATGCATGCATGCATGCTAGTCATCATGTCAAGCTAATGAGCTGTGCTGCAGTCGTTAAAACTGTCTTGCGCCTCTGCTACACAGAGGAGCCCGTCGCCGTCAGTGTCCATGGAGATCTCAGAGCGTGGCTTCAAAAGCGCTAAGAGCATATGGTAACTAGTATGGTGCTTGTTTGTATCCCTGTCCTTGTTGAGACCTGGAAATCGACAAGCAAACGGAAGCATGGTCTACGGAGTCTATGCCTAGGCCAATCACACTCGATGCCCAAATATTCCCAGCCCCCCCACCGCCACTTTTATGTGCGCACGCCCCAAACAGACTCCTCGAGTATCCCCTCGCTCTATCTGTACACACTCTTGCATGTGCTTGATGTGCTTTCTCGTTCTGGGCTCGTACATGTGCCTGTGTGAAGACGAGCAACCTCCTTCTGAACCGTAAACATGCTTACGACACCCATTGCATACCCTCAGCAGCGCCACAGCAACTCTCGACGCACAATCGGTGAACAGGGGCTGCCACAAACATGTCACGAGCTGCTTGCACATGTTCCTGCACTGACACGGCTGACACACAGGCAGAAATCCAAATTCGGCGTGTGGTTCTCCCATGTGTTCAACTACCGGTACAAGACAAGTAATTAGTGTATTGAGGTCCAGCCACGCTGGCCTGATTTCTCTCCGGATCCATTGACTGTGGCAGCTACCGCATGAATAACCCCAGAGAAGAGCGTCGGTCACGCCACTCAAAAAAAACCATTGGAAACCCGAGGAAAAGCTGAAAAGAACACATCACTGTCCTCGGCAAGCATACTGGCGATGGTTGTGAGCGAAGATCGCCTGTCAAACTGGAGCAGCCCAACTCCTCCTGCACTCCTACCATGACGAGTCTCCTGGCTCGCATCCCCAAACAATCCTCCGGCGCTCTTGTTTCCACCAGATGTGTGCTGAGGTGTCTTGTGCTATAAACCACAGAATATATATAGTGGCAGCTATTGCTTGCAAAAGCCGCAAACTGCACGCTGGCTGAAGAAATGGCGGCCGGGCGTACTTCAGCTTGTTCTGACCCCGGAACGTGCGTAAATCATCAAGCAGACCGAAACCTCAGGCGATGGCAGAAGTCCGTAAGCGCGCGAGCTCGTTTTCCTACGCTGCTTGGCTTATACATAGCTCAGCTTCGCAGCTAGACTCAGTCAAATCAAGTTTCACAAAGCACATCGCTCCAGTGATTAAGCTGCTGATGCTGAGGACTATGGCGCAGCGTTGGCATCTCGGGCTTTGGAAGGTGCTTCTGAAAGAAGGGATCCTGCACGAAATCTGAACGGCATTTCTTGCAACTTGCTGCAACTCATGGTCAGAAGCTTGCACAAATGATCAAGGGGAGCGGCATGATCCGCTGTCCAGAGAAGAACAGGCCTGAAGATTGTGCTTGCATCATGAGCCATCTTGCCCCTCTCAATGTACGAAATCATGCTTGCCAGTAGCTGGTACCAGCTGCCAAAGTGCGTTGACAAAACTGCTGGCAGAATTATGCAGCATCGCAGGTTGGAACGGCATTACTCAACAGCAGCGAGTGCGAAGATTTGGTGTAGAGCTCCCATTCCGTCCGTCAACACCGTCTCCTGTAACAGTTTCCGTGTCCAAACGACTTCGAGTTCGGGGTGTGCTTCGTCTGAACATCTTCTTGACGTGTCCTTGGGCCCTACCTCTGGCCATCGACTCGATGAGACAGTGTCCTTTACAGCACAGGATGTGCTGTTGATGGGATGACTTGTATCCATGGTGCGGGTCCGTTGGACCGTGCTCCTTGGTGGTTGTTTGAGGTAGTCATGTACACGTACCTGGCTGGAGCGTTTAGGTTTCGTGGCACGCGGCAGACAATCCACCAAAACAACAGCACTCTGTCAGAGGGTTTCTTAAACTTGAAGTTGACGCAGGGCTTACCTACTCAGGGGTAGGGTCAACATGGCCCTCACCTTCTGAAGCCCCCTGTTTGATCCTGGAGCGCCAGCTTGGCTGGTGGACGGTGAGCAGGTCTGGAGAGCAGCTTCCTGAGGAAGCAAACAGCCTCCTGACGCGGTCAGGTCGCGAGGTCAAGGGTACGACTTGTTATCGAGGGCTCTTTTCCTTCCGCAGGATGCGAGTAGTGCTTATAAGACTCTATCTACATTTACATACCCTGTCTCGGGACGTCTTCCTTCAAGGTCCGGAAGCAAAGGAAAAGCAATCGCGCTAGATTTTGGAGAGGCTGATGGCGACAGCTATGCGCGGTATTCACTGACCCACAATTGCAACAGCAAGCGTCCTGCGATGCGTCGCACCACTGCTTGCCAAGAGGAACTCGCGCTGCTTTGATCTGCACGCGAAGGGCTGCAGACATGGTTTAAGGCCCAGGGCTAAGGACGTGGCGTCAGGCTTTCAATGCCATTGCTTGCAGTCCTTTTCGAGTCTACACTTGCCGCATCGACAAAACCCTGCCTCTTCCTCTGTGCCAAACGGAACTCCGCCGCTCATGAGGTTGTACCTCGTGCAATCTAGAGTACGGCCTACCACAACGATGAGCCGGCCTCAAGCCATCCTCTGCTTATCGGGTTACGCTGACGTCATGCCAGATAGTTGGTGTAAGACTACACGGCCTGTTACGCACGAGAAGTTTAGAAAGAAGCCTTTCAGTTCCGGTTTCGCTGGCATGCAGTGGACTGTTGATAGCTGCAAAAATGGACACAGACTGCAACTCTCCATTTCGTCAGGATGTACGAAACGGAACATGGCATGGGCGTCAACTTGGTTGAGGTGCCCTAGGCCCCAGACATCAAACGTCAGCAAACTTGCAGACATGGAGATTGACGTAGGTTGCCGACGAGGATTCTGCGCCATCCAATTTCGACAGACACAGCAGCACGGTTCCTACACCTCTTCCCACCCCTGGAGCACAGAATGACACCGCAAGCCCACACGTCACAGGAGCTCGTGTACCTGGCACTGGGGCAGTATGGGGACTAAGGAAGGATTTCAAGCGGAATTTTGCAGAAGTGCAACAGCTCCGACAAAATGCGACGTCATTTTGTCGCTTCGCTGTGCGCGCATCTCAGCCCTAGCCGAAGGGGTCGTAGCCTCAACGGATCCAGGCAGCCATGGAATGAATTCGATGAACTTGTGAAGCAAATGCAGCGAACTACTATTTATTACCCGCTGGAACAAGCATCTGCCCTGTGACGAGGCTTTTGTTGACGGAGTATCTTCTCAAACTTCAAACCCCCGGCACCTGAACGTCTCTCTAGGTAGCCAAGGTTCAGAAGGCATCTTAGTTCCATCCCCACTCTATACGACAGACACAGGAGGATGAAGCATTCCTGTTCTTCATTGCTGCAGCGCAGTATGTCAATAGGCCTTGCAACTGCAAACCACAAGTACATCGGATGCCTCCTAAACGAGCCGTGCTGAACCCGCCATCTGAGGAATGCTGTACGGAAACAACAATATTAGCGAACTCTTGTTGCTGTCACGGAGCTTTCTTGACGGACAGGACTGGGTCCTGTCGAGGCGACTTACATCGTCTCTGCACACTTTGTCACTCTCACCTCGGCCTCGGCCTTGCAAATCCTTGAAACGGAGATGCCAATCTGACCGCCTCCCCCCCCTCCCCCGCGTCCACCGGCATCATCGAAACGTGGTGGCGGCACCTTGCATGTCGCAACATGCCTCTGCCTCTGCCTCGATATCATGAGTGGATGCTTCACAGATGGACGTCGAGGCTTGCTTCTGCGTTCTGCACTCCTTGTGTTCTTCTCTGGCTTGGACTGTGGGCTTTCAGCAGTCTTCAGCGAGCTTTGTGATCAAGGCCTTCCGCCAGACCATGTAGCTGCAAGTCCAATCTCGCTTCGGGCTCGAGTTGGGATATCTGACATATTTTGATGCGGCTGAGATGCACGAATGACCTTTTCTCTTCAGAGACCCAAAGGATTTGAAACGAAAGTCCAACAGATTGGAGGTAAACTCGAGTCAGCCACACAACTCACAAGAAGAACAATTTACGGTGGCCTTAGCTTCTGACGAAGCCCTGTGGAGCCGAAACCCTACCCGCTGCAAGTCCTAACCGTCCTAACTCACAGCCTTCGACTGTCGGCTTCGAAGCGCCCTGCAAAGGACAACCCCAGGCAACCCACTCACCTGAGCTGCACAACGTTCAGATCCAGCTTAATTACCCTGAGTTAAACTCTCAATTTTGTCCCTCGAAAGTGCCTCGTTGAAGGGCGTCATCGTCGGCTTCTCAGGAGAGGCATCTGAAGCAGAATGAGACTGCAAGGTTGGAAAGAGCCCCGGGGACAATGTGCGGAAAATCTGCCAGAGTAGCAGCCGGTTTCGCAACGGTAGCGGCTCTGTCGAGAAAAAGATCACAAAGACCATCAAAACCCAACACAGATCAAACACCAACCCAGCACAAAGCGATCACAGATCGAAGGCCAATCACAAGCACTGCATTGCAAGAAGATCACAGTTGCATCACAAAGCATAGAACATACAAATCACAAAAGGGAACACAACAAAAAACCCTGCGCCATCTCCCAATCCCTCCGGGCTTCAAACTTACAAACAAAAACAAACCAGTCGAAAGGGGAGAAGCAGGAGTGGACCGTTCGGAGGGCAGTAAATACAGACTTTGACAAACGAGAGCAAAACTGCCCGAAAGAGACTAGGGCATTTGAGGAGCAGCTTTTGAGAAGGACAAGCAAACCAGTAGAAAGGAATGAGACGATGATGTTGAGAGACAGAAGAGAGACGAGAGAAATTGACGAAACAAAGATAATATGAGAAAAAGGAACAGGCCAGTTGAGAGAGACTAGGAATTTAAGAAACAGGACCACGGCAGAGGCTAAAAGACTTGACAAAGAAGAGCATGTGAGAAAAGCAGCAGCAAGCCGGCAAAAGAGATTAGAGGGCAAGAGCAAACCGCTTGCAACAAATGAAAGAATTTGACAAAGAGGACAATTTGAGAAACAGGAACAGACCAGTCGACGAGGCCAATACATTTTCAGAAACAAAAGCTACAGCTCGAAAGAGACGATCAGGAGGATAACTTCAGAATAAATCAGCAAACCAGTCGAACAGGATCTTGTCGTGTATTCTCTTAACTTTTCGAGCGGTTTGCTCCTCTAGATATGTATAGCTTCTTTCATGCACTGAGCTCTGCTTCGTCAAGCTCTCTAGATTGTTTCAAGCTGTCTCAGAAAGCCTACTCCCTTTCAACTGGCCCGATCCTCGTTCTCCTACGTTTCTCTTCGTTGAATTCTCGCATTTTGTTTTCTATCATCTCAAGTCTCTTTCGTGCGTCTTGCTGTTCGACAGTCTTGACTCGAGTTTTGTTCGGCTGGTTTGTTCTTCTCCGTTTCTCGAACTTTCCACTTTTTCAATTCGTGTGCTCCTCGAAAAGTAAGACAAAGCACAGCCACCAGTGCATACCATACTGGTTGTGTTCAATTATCTTTCGGTCTGTTTGCTCCTGTTGGTCAATACCTTTAGTCTCTTTCGAACGGTGCGCTGCTGTGTCTGAAATTGTCCAACCGTTTGCGAGTGGCTTGCTCCTCTTTCTCAAGTCCTCCTCTTTGTCAAACTCTTTCGTCTGTTTGGAGAAGTTTTGCTGCTCTCCTTGCATTTTTCCTCCTAATTTCAGAATTCGTTGGAAACCACCATCGGTCTCAAATAGACGGAGAGAAGGCGACGCAAGCTTCGAAAACCCCGGCAATGGCCACCCACCCACAGCTCAAAACGCCGGCATCCGCGTTCAAAATAACAAGAAGCGCTACAGTAACCTGCTTGGAGAAAATCTCCAATCCTCCACCCAGACTCTAAACTCCAGACCCCATCTTAACCAGCCGTGATTCCCAACCCCAACCCCACCACTCAGAACCATGAAACCCAACGCCACAAGCGCAGGAGGCAGGGAGACCTCGACTCTGCAAGGCACTCCGTGCATCCGGGACAGCGGCTGCAGCAGGAGCGAAGACCTGGCATCCGGGGCTTGAACATTTTTGGTTGGCTTTGGGCCTTGAGGTTGTGAGGGTTGAGGGTTACGGACTTCTGTATGAGCATTATGGAACTCCCTTCAAGCAGGATGCCAGTCTGCCTCCTACCATGACAATACACGATACATCACTGTACCACCAGCAACGTCGAATTGTGAAGACTCAGCGCACCAACTTTCAAGCTCTCGCCTGTGGTGGAGATGCGGCTTGATCCTGCGCACATGCAAGATGATAGTAGAAGCTTTCTTTGACTCAATATATTGAAGGAGACCAGCAATTGTGAGGTTAATAAATTCAAACACCATTTTCCCATGTCTCGGTGCTGTATCCTCAGCCCTTCATTCGGCAGGCCACCGAACCTGCGCGGCTCTTGCAACCTGCAGTCCCCTTGCAGCCTCACATCCCGATGGCTCTTGCAACCTGCAGTTTCTGGGGGAGTCCTGAGAGAAATGTAGAAGGCGACGTTTGGGAAAGGGATTCAACAACTGACACTTTCCGGTACGCACACACGCACGCTCTTGTAATCATAAGGTTTCGGATGCTGTGAAGTAGCTCAGCTCACATGTTCTTGTACACACTGGCGCTTGCAGGGTTTCCGATGCTGAATTATTAAGCTCTGCGAGAAAGAGAGGGGAGGGAGAGACAGCTTCGATACAGGCTAACAAACTAGTTCCCATCCCTCAGCCCTTTACACGGTACTCCGAACAGGCCGCAAGTATACTGTATGGTAGTTCTGCCTAATACTGTGAAGTCTAGGACAGCACGCTGCCCATGATATGCTACTGAATGCCCTGTATTCCGCTACTGATAGGATAGAACAGCGCCCTTGGCCTGGCAAGCATCCGCTGCATTTCTCTGGCACTCCTGCGGTGTGGCACGCTTCACGTCCACCCACTTGCCATCGATGGCCTGGGTTGCAGCAACCCTAATTATGCTCCTCCCAGCGCTTTGCCGGATCATTTTCCCGTTTTCGCGGTACGCTCACGCAGGGGGCTTTCTCTTGGTGCCCGGCATGCTTCCCGTAGTCCCGGATTGCCGCCTCGCAGCAGATCTCAAGGCACAAAGCCAAAAGACTGTTCTTCCCATGGCCTCCACACAGGAGATGTGTTCGAAAACGACGAAGCCGAAGCCTCGGGGCTTGCCCGTGGCCTTGTCTGCCATGACCTCGGAAGCGGAGGCTCCCAGCTTTGTATTGGGCACTTCGACCCCAGGTCTGGGCCGCAAGCGACAGCGTCGGTAATCCTGCCATACTTGCCTTGGATGGCGCGGCGGGACATTTACACATTTGACACTATATGACTTGCACCGCCAACGGTTTCCGTCCTGTATAGAATTTGCATCGGTGCTGGGGCTGATCATCGGTGACGGAAAGGGCGTGGTTTGTGCAGGCTCAGGGTCGCGACTTGAATCCCGATGGCTTAGCATGGTTTTGACTCGAGGAGTGGTTCTGCTGTCTAGGCATTGCTTCAGGAGAAAGAATGCAATTACCTG